CCCCCCGAAGCCTTTGTGGCGGGCGTCCTCCCGGTCTGGTGTGCCTCTACTCCATGTTTAGGAGAGGAGGAGGCTGATAAGGAGCGGGATGGTGAGGCTCTACCCCTCAGCTCGGTTCTGGAGAGAGGGGGAGGCTCTTGGCGCGTTCCCGGCTGGTCTGCGGGCTGCAAGGCTTTTTCGAAAAAGCGGAGCTCACGGTCTTTCCTGGCTCTCGCCGTGAGGGAATTACAATGAGTGCAGCTGTGGGGAGAGTGAGATTCCCCCAAACAGCGAATGCATTTTGAATGACCATCCGAAGCCGGCATAGGGTCCCGGCATTGGTCGCACTTCTTAAAGCCTGAGGAGGCGGACATGTCCGGTTCTCTCCTCTTTAAGCTTTTTTTTTTTTTTTTTGTATTTATTTTAGTGTTCCTGCTGTTGTCGTCAGTCCGTGGTTTCTTTCTTTTTTTTTTTTTTTTTAAATCTGTTCTTTCTTCTCTGTGTTAAAGAGCTGTGAAAACTCCGGTATCTCTGAGACCCGGTCTGAGGTGATTCAAGCCCCCCCGAGGGGGGAGGGGGGGGTTAGGTAAGTGTATTTCCCTTATTACTAAAAATTCTTTTTCTTCTTTTAAAAAGAAACAGGGAAGGTAACTTGGATATCAGGGGAAAGAACTATAACTAAACTAGGGAGAAAAAAGGTAGTCAGAGAGTCTGACAGGGAGCTCCTGTTTGCTCCGTCCACAGGCGAGGGCGGTTGAAGAGGAACTGAAAGGGAGGGGGATGAGTCACACTCCTCAGGAGGCGGCAAGGGCTCGAGATGCCTCCTGGGCATGCGTGACTCAACAGGGGAAACTGCTATAGAAAGCTCCGATCTGAGGCTCAGGGCGACCCTTCACCTACAGTGGAGCACCCACGGGGACACTACTCGAAGAAGAACTACTGTTTCTGGAGGAGGTGAATTAACTACACCCTTGGGAGAAGCTCTCTAATCAGCAGAGACAGCATCTTCACTGAGCATTCCAGTACCACAGCTGCGTCGGTGCAGCTGTGGTGCTGTAAGTGTGGATGAAGCCATGAAAATACCGGAAACAGAACAGATCGGCTCTAAGCGAAAGTTTCCAGGCACATCTAAGCTTTAAATAATGCAACACAGAATGAAAAAATATTTCAGAGACCGTATACATTTTAATCACACGGTGAAAATGTCGAGGCCTAGAAGCTGTAGCAACCATATTGTACCCTGTGAAGTAAACAGTTCTGACCTCGCCCTGCCGAGGGCACTGGTGCACATGTGCAACAGCCAGACCCTAAAGCAGACTATAGTAGGCGACACTTACTGCAGAAGGAGGCCGATCTCCACTGCCCTGTCGGGATGCCCCGGGCCTGGCAGGCCATCACGTAGGCGCTGATCGCGCTGCACAGAGTGTCACGGTGACCCTTGTACTGGCAGGTGTCAAAGGCACAGTCGTCGAAGTAGGGGGTGGGGTCGACGGCCCCGTGGCACTGACTGAACGGCCCGTCCCCTCTGGCGAGGACCCCGCAGTACTGCTCTCCCCTGTAGGTTTGTCTCTGAGCCTCGCTGCAGACTGAGCAGTCCCCGGTGCAGCTAGCCGAGCAGCCTGGGACCTCCCCCACCTTCCAGCTGTCGGCGAACTGAACCTCATCAGCTGTCCGAGTTCCATCCTTCATGGTCAGATCGTCACTGGGGTCCTGATTGGCATTGCCGCAGAGCCCGCAGACGGCGCCGGCGTAGCTGCTGGGTATGATGACCCTGGCGTAGCTGTACCAGTCGAAGCTCACTCTCAGGTCAAAGTCAGTCTTGATGAAACCATGGACACCACTGATGTAGGCTTTGAATTTGTTCTTCCACGTAGGCGCTGATCGCGCTGCACAGAGTGTCACGGTGACCCTTGTACTGGCAGGTGTCAAAGGCACAGTCGTCGAAGTAGGGGGTGGGGTCGACAGCCCCATGGCACTGACTGAACGGCCCATCCCCTCTGGCAAGGACCCCGCAGTACTGCTCTCCCCTGTAGGTTTGTCTCTGAGCCTCGCTGCAGACTGAGCAGTCCCCGGTGCAACTAGCCGAGCAGCCTGGGACCTCCCCCACCTTCCAGCTGTCGGCGAACTGAACCTCATCAGCTGTCCGAGTTCCATCCTTCATGGTCAGATCGTCACTGGGGTCCTGATTGGCATTGCCGCAGAGCCCGCAGATGGCGCCGGTGTAGCTGCTGGGTATGATGACCCTGGCGTAGCTGTACCAGTCGAAGCTCACTCTCAGGTCAAAGTCAGTCTTGATGAAACCATGGACACCACTGATGTAGGCTTTGAATTTGTTCTTCTGGGAGAAGGGCAGGTCCACAAAGACACCATCCACCTGGAAAATATATAATAGAGATTGTCAAGGATTTGATTCAGCCTGACATAATTCCATTGAGCTGCCAGACATGGCCTGGCTCCATCGTAGAGGATAACCTAGTGTGTTAATATTTCATCCCATTGCCCTTCACGGAGAGCTTTTCCCTTTTCTAAAGCTCCTTCTCGCCAAGAGTGCTACACAGCTAATGTATTAAAGACTAGAGGTGGGTAGAAAATCTCACACAAAGGACACACTTGCTGATAAATGCAGTTTTCTTCAACCAGAAATCATGTCCTCGTAGAATAACAATTGGTGGGATAGCTGAGATGGGAAAAGGCAGGCTGGATGCCATGGGACACATGCAGGAGTAGTTTCTACAATTACGTTCAGCCCGGTCGTTAGGGCATTCACCTGGGATGCAGTATGCCTGGATGCATCCCCCTCCCCTGCCTTATAACAAGCAGGATTGAACTGCGGTATCACATTTAACACCAGAGTGAGCTAAACCCCCGGGGGCTAGGTTGGCTTCATTACAGTGTTCAGGGGGTAGATTTTTCACACCCTGGAAAGACGTAGCATTAATATGAAATATAGAATCTTAGAATCCTAGAATCCCAGGACAGGAAGAGACCTCAGGAGGCATCGAGTCCAGCCCCCTGCCCAAAGCAGGACCAATCCCAACTTTTTAAATCAACCCAGCCAGGGCATTGTCAAGCCGAGACTTAAACACCTCCAGGGATGGAGATTCCACCCCCTCCCTAGGGAACCCATTCCAGTGCTTCCCCACCCTAGTGAAATCGTTTTTCCTAACATCCAACCTAGACCTCCCCCACTGCAACTTGAGACCATTGCTCCTTGTTCTGCCATTGTCACTACTGAGAACAGCCTCTCTCCATCCTCTTTGGAACCCCCCTTCAGGAAGTTGAAGGCTGCTATCAAATCCCCCCTCACTCTTCTCTTCTGCAGACTAAATAAGCCCAAATCCCTCATCCTTTCCTCATAGGTCATGTGCTCCAGCCCCCTCATCATTAGTGCAGGACTCTACAGTTGTCCTTGTTGAACCTCATCAGATTTCTTTTGGCCAAACCCTCCAATGTGTCTAGGTCACTCTGGACCCTATCCCTGCTCTCCAATGTATCTTCCTCTCCCCCTAGCTTAGTGTGATCTGTGGACTTGCTGAGGGTGCAATCCATCCCCTCATTCAGTTAATTAATAATGATATTGAAGAAAAGTGGCCCCAGAACTGATCCTTGGGGCACTCCGCTAGAAACTGACTGTCAACCAGACATCGAGCCGTTGTTCACTACCCGTTGAGCCCGACAATCTAACCAGCTTTCTATCTACCTTATAGTCCATATATATAAGCAAAGCCAAATAAAAGCCAAGCCTCCCTCCAAATATCCCATAGTTCCGTAGCTAGGGGATGATCCAGAAATTCAAATTCCTTCTTTGCAGTGAGCCAAAGGAGGAATGGAATCCAGGTCTTCCCCATCTCAGGGGAGTGCTCAAGCACTGGCCCACAGAGAGTGGTTAGCGGGGCGGGCAGTTGTGGGAATCTAGCCTGTCATTTCCTTTGCTGTGTGGTTTTAAATGGCCAGAAACAAAAGCTTCCTTTTAGGCTGGGTGGAATGTTTCCTTTGACTCAAAAGAGAATTATTGTCAGCATTTCCAGAACCAGCAGTGAATCAAAGGCCTGTTATTCACCAAGCTCCACTCCCCACACGCCGTGAAGTGACTTGTTGGGGCTGGGGAAATCAGCCAGGCCTACACTAAACCCTTACCTCAGTGTAATCGCATTACTTGGAGCATGAACACCTCTGCCCACACAACTCAGTCACACTGAGCTAACAGGCAGCATAGTGAGTGCTTTGCTGACCGAGCATTTCTCCTGGCCACAGAACCACTGCCTCTTGTGGAGGGGGATTAACTACCCCAGCTGGAGAAGGTCTCCTGTCCACATAGTAGCATCTTCATGGAAGTGCTACAACAGGGCAGCTGCTTCGGTGCAGCGTTTCCATTGGAGCCCTGCTCACAGAGGCACAAAGACAGGAAGCGACTTGACCTAGATTGTTGGTCAGGGGCACAGGAAGGAACAAAATCCAAAATGTCTCACATCAGACCACTTCCCCCAGGTAGGAGCAGAATGGAGGGGCTCTAGTTCTTAACACTGTAAGCCAGTAGGTCCCACAGCTATGACGGAACACAGGGTTCCTGGCTCCCAGAGCCCCTGCTCCAATTATTAGACCCAACACCCCTTACAGGCCAGTGGTGGAACCCAGGAGTCCTAGTTCCCAGCCCCCCTGCTCTAAACACTAAACTCCTGAGCCCTTCCGAGAGAGAAGAAAAGAACAAAAAGCCCAGGCAAGCGATCACTGAGATACCTTCCTGTATTCCCCCGTGATCCTGTGTCCCTACCTGGATCTTGCGAGGATGCTCCTGGCTCAGGCTGATGGTCACGTTGTAAACCTCTAAGGTCACAGTTTTGGTGAAGGACACGGCCTTGCTGCCCCGGTTGTTATTCTCCACTTTGACGTTGAATGGGGTGAGCGTGGGGTCCTGGGAGCAAAGAGCCGCGAACTGGTAGATGCAGGTGCCCATGAAGTCGTACTTCTTCCCATCAAAGGTGGTGTAGTGGGGATCTCCAGTACCTATGCAGGTGAAGTAGCTGATTGGCTGGCAGCCCCGGACCCCGTTGACCACGGCGCATCTCTCACTGGCCTTGCAGCTGGTCTCCTGGCAAAGCACCATGCCCAGGCTGGGGTCACACCTGCACCGAGAGCGGCAGTTCTCATCGGCCCAGAACTCCTCGCTGGGCTGGTAGTAGCGGCCGTTGTAGTCGCAGCCACAGCTCCCCACGGGGACGCACTGCCCGGCGCTGAGGACGTAACCGGCGTTACACTGGCAGGTCTCCACGCAGGGCTCCCGGCAAGAGGTGTTGGCAGTTCGCCCACAGGCCTCGTAGTGGCTGTTCTCAGGGCAGGGCAGGGCTGGGACAGAATTGGGAGGGGGAGTTTTAAAAAGACAGGAAACAAATGAAAAAAACGCCCTAGACACATAAAAATGTAGCCGTGTTAGTCTGGTGTAGCTGAGAAAAAATACAGGACTAAACCATCTTGTTAGTCTTTAAAGTGCTACATAGTCCTGTATTTTGCCCTAGACACATAAGTGCAGGATGTAGGGGTCGAGGTGCTGCAGCACCCCCTGACTTGCAGCCGTTTCCACTATACACAGTGTTTACAGTTTGGTTCAATGGCTCTCAGCCCCCCCACTAGAGAAATTGTTCCAGGCCCCTGGCCTAGACAGTGAGAGCTACAGACAATTCTCATGTGCAACCAGCACCTCAGGCATGAGGCACCCTGCACAAAACAGTCCACAGGAAAAGGGGGCCGGGATTCATTTCTGCATTCGGGAACCACAAGGCCAAATCTCAGGGGCCATGAGCCGATCTCTGCTAGCATCTACGGGGAGCACTCAGGGTGAGTCAGGGCTGACCAGTGTGGAGCCAGCGGTCAGTGTTCTGCATGCAGAGGAGCAGGGTATTCCCCTCTTGAGTCAGTGCTGGCTCCAACGCCCCAGAGTTGTATTAGAATTCTAGGGCTAGCAGAGCCTTCAGGAGCCACCAAGTTCAGCCCCCTGCTCTAGGCAGGACCAACCCAACTCAATCATCCCAGCCAGGGCTTTGTCAAACCAGGACTTAAAAACTTCTAGGGATGGAGATTCCGCCCCCTCCCTAGGGAACCCATCCCAGCACTTCTCCACCCTCCTAGGGACATAGTTTTTCCTATAACCTAGAACTTCCGCACTGTAACTTCAGACCATTGCTCCTTGTTCTGCCATCCGTCACTACTGAGAACAGCCTCTCTCCATCCTCTTTGGAACCTCCTTTCAGGTAGTTGAAGGCTCCTACCAAATCCCCTCTCACTCTTCTCTTCTGCAGACTAAACAAACCAAAATCCCTCAGCCTCTCTTTGTAGGCCACGTGCTCCTGCCCCATAATCATTTTGGTTGCCCTCTGCTGCACCCTCTCCAATGCATCCACATCCTTTCTGTAGTGAGGAGCCCAGAACTGGACACAATACTCCAGATGTGGCCTCACCAGAGCCGAATAAAGGGGAATAATCACTTCCCTAGATCTGCTGGCAATGCTTCTCCTAATGCACTTCACTGTGCCATGGACACAGTACTTCAGAAGTGGTTGGGAAGGCTCAGTAGGGGATCGGTGCTCTCCCCAATGCTCCAAGGGGTACTAAGGGTGTGTCGAGACTACATGGCTCCGTTGACGGAGCTATATAAATTAGTGAATTCGGCATAGGCAAAGAAGCGGGGATTTAAATAATTCCGTTTCACAAGGCAACCAGAGTGGTCGACAAAGGCTTCTCCTGTCGACCGTGGCACGTCTAGACTGTCCCGCTGTGCCGGATCAGCTGATCAGCAGCACAGTGTGGTGGCCATGTTTATTTTAATGAAGTAGGGATTATTTAAATCCCTGCTTCTTTGCCTATGCCTAATACACTAATTTACATGGCTCCATCAATGGAGCCATGTAGTCTAGACACACACTAAGGGTCCTGTACTGCAAGGGGCAGAGGAGGGAGCTTAGGAGACATGCTCACTCCCTCAGAGTCAGTGTTGTTCTCACTGCCCAAAACCCCCAGATATACCCAGTCATGCACCCAGGCCACTCACCATCCCCTCCATCAACCAAGTGCCCAGATAGGTTACAGGAATGGAGCTGGGACTTGATTTATCATTCATAGAGAATACCAAGATTTTGGATTTTCTTCTATTCCGAAAGGGAAGAGAAATGAAATTCCTGCCCCCAACATTGTTGCAGGTCAATCCAAGTGTTTGGTTTGATAAAATCAAAACCTCACTTTCCCATTTTCAAATCAAAGGCTGTTTCAAAATGAGAAATCAAAATGTTCCATTCTCTAGCCTTGCTGACACGTATGGTCTGCAATGACATTTTGTTATAACAGGCAATTTGGTAACCATTTTGAATGTGACGAGAATGGCATTTTCCCTCCAAACTCCAGTGGAATGAAAAACGTTCAGGCTTCTCTACTGACTACACCTGACCACACCATTTCAGAAAAGGCACCCCGCTGCCAGACTCACCACAGCCAGACGGCGTCCTCCAGTCATCGAGGGTAATTCCGTAGGCTGTGCATGTTGCTGCGTAGGCCTCCAGTGCCTGGCACAAGATTCTTGTAGCGCCCTTGTTCAGACACCCGTCGGCGACACAGCTATTAAAGAACTCACTGGGGTTCACTCTGGAGTGACAGTCTCTGAAGGGCCCTCCCGCTGCTTGGCTGATCAACCTGCAGCGACTGTCGCTCCTGTACAGCTCCTTTGTGCTCTCATCACACGTCAGGCAGTTCTCTTGGCAGGAATCCCAGCACAACGCATCCTGGTCTTGGACTTTCCAACCGGCTGCCCAGGCCACAGTGGAGGAGACCCTGGTGCCATTGGGTGACGTCAGGTCATCGTCAGGGTTCTGGTTGAAGTTCCCACACAGGCCACATGTGGCCCCATAATAGCTGCTGGGGACGGTGATCACCAGATGCCAGTCCCAGTTATATGCCACTTGGAGGCCAAAGTCTGTCTGCAGGATGGCGCGGAGGCCACTCTGGTACATGCGGATTTTGCCATCTGCCAGTGTCACCGGGAGACTGGTGATCATGCCATTCAGCTAGAGACAATGACAGGTTATTGCTCTTTCATCCTCACTTGTTCTTATTGCAGATGTCACCTGACCACTCATTCCAATGGTACCTCATTGTCATTCAAACCAGTGACACATACATTAAGGGTCCAAATCCTTCATCTCGTTCTGCCCATTCCTTACCGGAAAGAACCAGGGAAATCAATCTGAGTTGGCCTAACTGCATTAAATACAGGTTTGACAAACACCCATCAACGAAGTTTTGGCTACACTTCAGCTTGCACGGACTAGGATGATTTCTTGAGGTGCCCTCTGGCCCTACGTAGACTTCTGAATGCAGTATGTCCCTATCTACACAATCTTCCTATAGTATCTGTCCGTCTGCAGAATTCTCTATATCTATCTATCCATCCATGCTACCTAGCTAATGGCCACTCATCTGTAGAATATAACCATCCATCCATTCAACCATTCTCTCACTCATTTCTCTGTTCACATTATCTAGCTATATGATTTACCCTCCCACAGTATCTATGGTTTATTCACAGAATCTCCATACAAACATTTAAATATCTAGGTCTCTAAGGGTATGTCTACTGTGGGAGAAAAATCAATTAACTCCAATTGTGTCTAAGGGGGGACTGTGCAAAAATCAAAACTCTCTAAAAGAAAACTGCTGTAAGGGTTAAAAGTTTTCCAGACCTCTCTCCCTGTATCAGAGTGAAATCAAATTAACTCTAATCAAGACCCTTACAATGCCTATCTCAAGTTCATGAATACTCCTAGTCTGTCACAATTTGACATGTAAACCCTTTTGTGACAGGGCAGAGGCGCCCCGCACTCTGATCCCCCTGGAAGTTGCCTTCGCGGCGACCCAGGGGTCGGAGCGAGAGGCCCTGGCACCAGCCGCACCACGAGCGGCGGTGTGTGGGCAGGAGTCGGAGTTGCCAGGGACAAATGGGCCGGCCCCAGCGTGGGGCGAGCGGCGATGTGCCGGGTGCTCCCAGGCCGCGGAGGCGGCAACGCACCTGCCCCTGCCGAGACCACGCCTGACGTCACGTGGGGGGCGGCACCAGATGGCGGGTGCGCTGCCCCGCCGGAAGTAGAGCCACGTACAGGGGGCGGAGTCTCCACCCCCCGCCCACAAGCGGCGCGGGGATTTAAAAGGCCGGACATGACTGCCCGAGAGGGAGGTGGACCCAAACTGCGGAGGTAAGCCCCCACATCGGCGAGACAGCGCAACAGGGAGAGGAAGCAGCCCAGGGCAGGCGAAGGGAGCTTAAGGGCTGGCACGTTACGGCAGACGCCCCGCCAGCCAGACCGGACGCCGTAAGCGTACCGAGTCCTTAGGGCCCTGGGCTGGGGTCCGTGAGAGGGGGCGGGCCCGGACCCCCCTGTCCCTGCTACGGGAAGCTCGGAGACCCCTGGTGTTAAAGGGGCCCCCTGGGCCAAGAAGCTAGTTGACTGGGGATGCCAGACGGTGAACCTCTGGGTGAGGGGAGCACAAGACTCCGGCGGAGAGTAGAGGGTGCCTGTGTGCGCCCCAATAGACTCATTTACAGCCAGGAAAAGAATCCAAGTTTTCTAAGTCCCATACCAGTCCCCTAACAGCTCAGACACACTGCCTCTATTTTCCTGATCTATGGGGCTACATCTAGACTGCATCCCTCTGTCGACAGGGAAAACAATCAACAACTAAACTGTCTGAGCATACTGTATAAAGGATCCCTGAACCTGTCTCTCGGGGCTGACTGCTATTGCTCTGCTGTCAGCCTGCATGCATGCATAATAAAGTTTTCCTTCTAGGTTTCTCTCCTGCCTCACTGATTTGACCTCCAGCCTCGGACCCTTCTGGGGACTCTGTACCCCAGGGGAGCGAGATTTCCCCCACACTACACTACCACCCTAGTTCAAACTAGGGTGGCAGTGTAGACATACCCTAATATACAACCCATAACACACTGGGAATCTCTATAATCTAAGTTTTCAATTGTATTTGTTTGTTTGTTTGTTTGTTTAAAAATATTTTGTGGCTCTTATGGCTACAGAGGAAACCTTCCAAATGTTCCTTAAGTGCATCTAGTTCTGCAAAGAGACTGAAATCATGACCCTAACCGTGAAAATTCCCCTGCCCCTACTAAGCAGATCAAAGTATCAACTATAAAGCCTATGGATAACACTTTAATGACAACACTTGATATTTAATCTCTTAGGCTATGTCTAGACTGCAAGCCTCTTTCGAAAGAGGCTCTTTCGAAAGATACTTTCGAAAGAGAGCAAGCCGCTTTTTCGAAAGAAAGCACCCAGTGAGTCTGGATGCTCTCTTTCGAAGAAGCCCTATTTACATTCAAGAACGCCTTCTTTCGAAAGAAGCACTTTCGAAAGAAGGCGTTCTTCCTCGGGAAAGGAGGTTTACCACCGTCGAAAGAAAAGCCGCGTTCTTTCGATTTAATTTCGAAAGAACGCGGCTGCAGTCTAGACGCAGGTGAAGTTTTTTCGGAAAAAGGCTACTTTTCCCGAAAAAACCCCTGAGTCTGGACACAGCCTATGTGGCAAAAATGCTGTCCCCACAGAATTATAGACTCATAGGACTAAAAGGGATCTCAATAGTCATCTAATCCCAACTCATGAACTCATGGCAAGACTAAATATTACCTAGACCATCCTCGTGTCTAACCTGCTCTTAACAATCTTTAATGAGGGAGATTCCACAACCTCTCTAGGCAATTTATTCCAGTGCTTAATAAATGTGACAGCTAGGAAGTTTTTTTCTATATGTCCAACCTCAATCTCCCTTGCTGCAATTTAATCCCATGTCTCCCTAGCCTCAGAGGTTAACAAGAACAATTTATCTCCCTCCTCCTTCTAACAACCTTTTCTGTACTTGGAAACCATTATCATATCCCCCTCAGCCTTCTCTTATCCAGACTAAACAAATCAATTTTTTAAAATCTTCCCTCGCTGCTCAGGTTTTTTAGACCTTCAATCATTTTTACTGCTCTTCTCTGGACTTTCTCCAATTTATCTGCATCTTTCCTAAACTAAACTGGACATATTACTCCAGTTGAGGCCTAATCAGCATGGAGTAGAAAGTATGGACTTCTTGTGTCTTGCTCACAATGCTCCTGCCAATACATCCCCAAATGAGGGGATGCTTTTTTTGCAACACTGAATTGTGACATGTACACATGCAATTTTGGGTTGAATGAACAGAGACATAGCATGCAAGTCACGGGAGATCATAGTATCACTCTACTTCACACTGCTTAGGCCTCAGCTGAAGCACTGTATCCAGTTTTGGTCACTGCTACATAGAAAGGGTATAGAGAAACTGGAAAGGATCCAGGGGCAAGAGACAAAGATGATTAATGGGATGCAGTGCAAGCCATATGAGCAAAGGTGGAAGGAACTGGGTGTACTTACTTTGCAAAAAAGTCTTCAAACATTTACAAGGCTGCCATGAAAAAGATGGAGAAAAGTTGTTCTTTCTTGCCATGAAGGACAGGAGAAAAGGCAATGGGTTCAAAGCACAGCAGAGACGTTTCAGATTAAATCTCAGGAAAACTTCATACACCAAAGAAGATGGACAATGGACCAAGCTGCCTAGGAAGGCAGGAGTTTTTCAAAAGGAGGCTGGAACCATCTGTTTTGGAGGGTTTAGACATAAGAAATCCTGCGTCTTAGCAGCAGGTTAGACGAGATGATGTTTGCGGTCCCTTCTAGCTCTGTGGTTTTATGGTTCTATGTCTGGGATAAGCATCTCACCACTCCCTGCTCAATTTAACAGACCGGATGGGGCAGGGAGTGGGGCTGAAGCATCTTGTGTAGAGAACAATGTTACAGGGAATAGAGGCACAAAGACAAGGAGGAAGGAGATACGGTCAGGAAAAAAGAATCAGAAAAAGGAAGGCGCAGAAAATAAAGGAACAAAGGGCCGAAATATATCTGAGCCTCAAATGGAGCAGATTGTCTCACTGTGCAATGAGAAAGAAATGTATAAGAAATACATACTAGAGTGGTGTAAATAACAAGCTACTAATTCTGAACAAAAGGAAAAATTGTTTTGGTTGAACTGAAAAAAAAATTAAAAATTGTTGAAAAGCGGAAAGAAAATTGTTTCATATTGAACAAAGTATTTTGGTTCAATATCAAGCACTTCTTAAAATATTTCAAAATTTCAAAAAGAAAGTTTGAAACAAAAAGTCATTTCAAATTAAAAACTTGAACTTTTTTCTAAAAATGCTAAAACAAAACCTTTCAGGTCTTTTGTTTTGTTTTGTTTCCTCAGACAAAATATGTTGATGAAATTGATGCAAATTCAATTTCAGGGCACAGAAAGGTTTCAGGGCACAGAAGCTGCATTTTTCACCAAACAAATGTTTTGGATGAAAAATGTTGCCCAGCACAGGTTAAGAAAATAAGAATAGCTATACTGGGTCAAACCAATGGTCCATCTAGCCATCTGCATTCCTGGCCATCTTGGCTAATGGCCACTGATGTACCTATACTGCAGGAACTTAAGGGCTACGTCTACACTGGCCCCTTTTCGGAAGGGGCATGTAAATCTCACTAGTTGTCGTAGGGAAATCCGCGGGGGATTTAAATATCCCCCGCGGCATTTAAATCGGAAGGGGCATGTAAATTTCACTAGTCGTCGTAGGGAAATCCGCGGGGGATTTAAATATCCCCCGCGGCATTTAAATAAAAATGTCCGCCGCTTTTTTCCGGCTTTTAAAAAAGCCGGAAAAGAGCATCTACACTGGCCCCGATCCTCCGGAAAAAGTGCCCTTTTCCGGAGGCTCTTATTCCTACTTCAAAAAGCGGCGGACATTTTTATTTAAATGCCGCGGGGGATATTTAAATCCCCCGCTGATTTTCCTACGACGACTAGTGAAATTTACATGCCCCTTCCGAAAAGGGGCCAGTGTAGACGTAGCCATATAGTCCTTTTTCGAACTCCATGATAGTTTTGGCCATTCTATCCTCTGGCAATGAGTTCCACATGTTGACTGTGCACAGTGTGAAGAAGTGTTTCCTTTTGTTTGTTTTAAACCTGCTGCCTATTAATTTAATTGGGTCACCTCTGGTACTAATGTTATGTGAAGGAATTCATAATACTTCCTTATTCACTTTCTCCACAATAGTCATGACTTTGTAGACCTTCATATTGCTCCTTAGTCATCTCTTTTCCCAAAATGAAATGTCCCTATCTTTTTAATCACTCTCATTTGGAAGCTGTTCCATACTCGTAATGTTGCCCATCTCTGTACTTTTTTCAGATGGGGAGTTCAGAACTGCATGCAGTATTCTGGATATACTTATTATATAAAGGCCACGTCTCCACTTGCCACACCGGAGATCAATCTTCTGGTGTTTGATTTAGCAGGTCTAGTTAAGACCAGCTAAATCAATGCTGAAGTTGGCTCTGGTCAGCACCAGCATTCCTCACACTTGTGAGTAGTAAAGAAAGCTGATGGGAGTGTTTGCTCCTCTCAGCCTTCCAATGTGATTACAATGCCAAACTTGGCTTAAGGTAAACTGACTTCAGCCATGCAGTTGCGTATCCTAAGCTGACCTTCTGGGTCTAGAAAAGACCTGAGAAAAGACTGCATTTTCTCTTTGAGCTCTATGCAAACTTCTGACTGGCCATTCTGACACATGCACCATAACTAAGTGTAGAATTCAGCTCTCTACTGAGACCCTTGATCTCTGTTACCTATTCCCACTGATTTCAATAGGGTCTTGATTTCACCTCTAGTAACTTTCTATCAACACTCCTTTCATTCTCTGTCCCTTCTATGGGCTGAAGACCCTTCTCCCATGCTTCTTCTAACACCTGAAAAACTGCCCCACCTTATTCTAGGTTAGAAATGTCAACTGAAAACATCTATTTCCCATTTCCATGTGTCTTTCTTTCTCTCATCTCCTGATTATAGGATGCTATTTGTGCAGGATAGACACTCTGCCATATCACTATATAGGGCATGTCTAGGCTACATGGAAGATGGATGCTGCCATGGTCAATTTTCCAGGGTTCAATTTAGCAGGTGTAGTATAGAGCTGCTAAATCAAACTCAAAGGGCTCCCCCATTGGAACTGGTATTCCTACTCTTCACGAGCAGAAGGAAAGTTGACTGGAGTGTTTGTGCCTATCAACAGGGATTTAAGATATATAGACTCCAGCTACATAATTTACATACCTGGACTTGCCCTATCTTACTTTGACCTCTCCATACAATGTAGACCAGGCCTATGTGTTACAAGTCAAAATGGTGCAATCCTGAAATCAGAGACTCACCCGGACTTTGCCAACTTCCCTCTTGTAGATGGAGATGTTGTACCCATAGACATAGATGTTGGTCACTCGCAGAATGGAGATGGCTTGGCTGCCCCTGTTATCATTCTTCTCATCAACAGCAAAGGGTTCCAGGGCTGGGTCATGGCCACAGTACTTGGCGACGGTGTAGGTGCAAGAGCCCTGGAAGTCAAACTTCAGGCCATCAAAGGTCTGATAGTGTGGGTCCCCCCAGCTCCAGCAAGTTCCCAAATAGTCAGGAACACATGTTGCGTGGCCATCCTTAGTCTTGCAAGTCTCCTTGGTCCCGCATTTCAGGGCTTCGCAGTTTTCTGAAAGGAGAAAGTCCATTCACATCAACAGAGTGGGGGACCCAAGTCAAGTGTCTAGACTGGGGGTGCAAAATCCATCATGGGTGCAGCATTCATGTAGAACCAACTGACCCAACCAAGGCATGCTGAGGCCACTCAACAGAAGTTTCTCTGGTCCCATGGTGCCACTCACACACTTAAAGCCGTGCAGATGCTTAAATGCCCTGGCTTCTGATCCAATGTGGCCTCAATAACCCACTGCGGTGGCACTGACATCATTGGCTCATTCCACTGATTTCATTGGGGCTATGTCTACACTACAGAGTTTTGTCGGGAAAATCAGCCATTTTTCCAACAAAATTCGTGGAGGATCCACACATCAAGCACGTTTTTGCACAAAAACATCAAAAGAATAAGGGGGGAGGGTTGCGCAATTGGTATTCCACTTTCTACGAGGAAGAAGCCTTTTTTGCGAAAGGCGTGTGTGGATGGGGGAAGGGGTCCACTGCTGGAAGCAGGCTCCCCACAAGGGCGCAAGCACGACCCCACACAGACCGAGGAGTGCTGCACACAGGCATGCCTGCACATGTGAGACAGCAGCCTCTCCCACAGACAGCACAGTGAGCAACAGCTCCCAGCTCCTCTGCCACCCTTGACGGCATCCCACTGTGGCAAGACACTTCCTTTGCCTGCCTGTCCATGGTATGAGACAGGGGGAAAGGGGGCATCATAGTCCTATGGACACGTTGGGGCTCACTCTAGATAGTCCCATGCTCAGATCACTCTCCATCCCCTCCCTCCATCCCTGTTGCATTTACCCCATTGCCACTTGTTTCAACAGGGTACCAACCTCCCGATTCATTACAGCCGGACGGTGTCCTCCAGTCATAGACAGTGGCTCCATGGTCCTTGCATTTATCCGCATAGTCCTCCAGTGCCACACACAGAATGGTCTTTTCCCCTCCATTCTGACACACATCATAGAGGCAGTTGTCAAAGACTTTGTCGGGGCTCTCTCTGGAGTGACACTCTCTGAAGGGTCCCAGTGCTTTACTGATCAGCCCACAGTGACTGTCGTCCCCATACAGATTTCTCTTGCTCTCTTCACACATTGGGCATGTTTCTTGGCAAAAATCCCAGCAAAAGGGGTCCCGGTCTTGGACTTTCCAACTGGGAGCCCAGGCCACAATGGAGGAGGCTGCGGTGCCACTGGATAACAGCATGTCATCCTCAGGGTTCTTGTTGAAGTTCCCACAAAGGCCGCACATGGCATCATAATAGCTGCTGGGGAGGGTGATTGTTAGCTGCCAGTTCTTACTGTATCCCACCTGGAGGCCAACGTCCGTCTGTATGATGGTGCTGAGGCCTTTCTGGTACAGTCTGATTTTACCATCTTTCAGCGTCACTGGGAGACTGGTGCTCACGCCGTTTAGCTAGAGACAGACAGGAGGGCAGGAACATGGGAGGCATTATTCTTCTTTCATCCTCATTCGCTCCTGTTCCCAATGCAGCCTCCCCATTCCTTTTGCCTGTTACTTTATGTCACCCTAACCAGCAGCAAGTAAAATACATCACGTCCTTAATCACTTTTTACTATTCATCACTCAAGAGGGACAACAGAAATCAGTCCAAGGTCCCTGAATAAACACAGTGTTTATCATTATCTGCCGATAGGATCTATCTCCAGAATTCCTTGTATCTCTGCATAGATTCTACCTACCTGAAATATCTATCCCTCTAGCCCAATGTCTTGTTTCTCTCTCTCTGAAGGTTTTCAAACAGACAGATGATACAGATCTGAGGTATTCTTGTACCTGGATTTCCCAGACGACATTCTCAGCTCATGGCATCTATGTTTGGGACTCTGTGTGAGACCGTTCACAAGAGTACTGTGCCCCGTATATTGAAAAGTGTCAGAGCCCTGAGCTGGGAGACTCACCCGGACTTTGCCAACTTCCCTCTTATAGATGGAGATTTTGTGCCCATAGATGTAGATGTTGGTCACTCGCAGAAAGGAGATATCCTGGCTCCCCCGATTGTCGTTCTTCTCCTCAATGGCGAAGGGCTCCAGGGTGGGGTCGCTCCCACAGTATTTGGCCAGGGTGTAGGTGCAGGTGCCCTGGAAGTCAAACTTCAGACCATCAAAAGTTTGGTACTGTGTGCCTCCTGAGCCCAAGCACACGCTCTTGTAGTCAGGAACACACGCTGTGTGGCCATCCTCAGTCAGACATGTCTCTTTAGTTCGGCATTTCAGAGATGTGCAGGCATCTGAGAGATTTGAAAGAGAAACCCCTGGTCATATCAACATGGCAAGGAGCTCAAGTCCAATATCTAAGCTCCTAAGTGCCACAGTAGCATAAATAATACCAATTGATGTATAATAAAACGGTAAGACATCTACCTATGCCATGCCATGAGATCTAGATCATTGTGATTTAAAAGTATCTCAGCCAATCACCACCCTTACTCTACATCTAGAGTTGTTTGCATTTAACAATGTCTTGGGTTGTAATAAGTCAGTGGTATAAGGGACATTGCTTCACAGTTCTTTAAAGATTGATTCACCACCTGTACAACTTAATACAAACTCTCCAGATGCCCAAACAAATCAACACAGGATCCCCAAGCCTGATCCCCCAGATATTCTCCCCTCATTTGTCACCCGCACAATCCAACACAAAATTCTTCAGTCCGGTTGCCCCGCCCTTATGCAAGTTAACACAACCACCAAAACAACACAGCACATGTTAACCCCAAGCACACAGCCCCTCACCAGAGCATATACTCCTCTTTTACCACCCCACAGAATTTCTCAACACAACACAAGCACTTGCTCAACTATGTTTAGATTTACCACCAAACAATAAACATGAGCGGCATAGCTGTGAATACCAACAACAACATGGGAGAGCCAGACTGGCCATGAGCATATTCACCCAGAACCATGCCTGCCATGGCCTGCTGAGTGGATGGTAAGTCCATGTAAGTCAACAGAACATGGCTTGCTACAAGCCATAGTCCTAGTCCAGCTGCTGCTATAGCCCAGAGTTCATTTGTGAATTCCCACTGCCTCCAGTGGGAACAGGATTTCAGTCCACAATGAGGAACTGAAGGGCTGCAGGTGCTAAGAGTCAAATGCTTAGAGCTTTGAGCGCCTTCAGATCCCATGCACTTCAATGGGAGAACAGTTCCTGGATCTCTCCCCATTCTAGCTCCACATCCGTCTACAGACATTTCACGCTGGAGACCGACACTAAGGTTCCAAGTCCCCTATACTCGGGGACACTGAGGAACACTGACCTCCACCGTCGCCTGCTTGTCAGTTCCAAACCACTGGCAGCATCTGTGTGTGCACAGAGGAGACCTTGGCAGTTGGCCAAAACCCTCCCCTGCGACGCTCACCTGTGCTGATATGTTTAGATACTATCTCATGCCAAGGGAGTGCCCGACTTCCCGCCTGAGCGGAGACTTACACCTACATGCACTCTAGCCAGCTGACTGGGCGATTGGTTAGATCTCAGCTAACAAGGCCAGGTGGGTTAGCTCTTGGAGGAATGGCTGCTCGGGGAGCGCTACCCCCCAAAGTCAGTGCTGAGCCCAGTACACCTGGGATCCTGGATATTTCTAGACAGTGCTGGGTCCTGTCATGAGGGCAGGGCGCTAGACTCGATGACCTCTCGAGATCCCTTCCAGTCCTAGTGTTCCATGATTCTATGCCCTCCGTAACCTGCCCAGCCCTTTCATGGGCACTGCATTCATACAGAACCAGCGGAAATCAATGAGGCTACACACAAGTTTACAGCTGCGCATGTGCACCGGTGCCATTGCTCTGATCCCGCAAAGTGCCAAGCACCCCTGATAACATATTTGATGTGGCACTGAAGTCCTTGGCCATAGGTGCTGGAGCTGGGGGAGCTGCCCCGCTGCTGCCTTGAAGGGGATTCCAGCGAATGCCGGGTTTACAGTTTGGTTCCCTAGCTCTCCACATCCCCACTATAAAAACAGTTCCAGAAGTGAGTTATTGGCTGACTCCCAGTGACTCCATCCGGAGAGGGAATTCAGTCCATCACCTTGGCTCATGCAGCCCATGATGCCATCTCTGATCCGGCAGGTTTCTCCGCTGGCGCAGTGGTGGGCTTTGCAGGTCACGTCTTGGGCGGGAAGGCAGGTGCAGCTTTGCTGGCACTCGCTCATCAGGATGGTCTCACTGGGCTGAGGGGACATTTGGAAAAGGGGAAATGATACATTGTAATGGGGAAAAGATTATTTATAACAACAGCTGGCAGTGCGGAACCCAGAGCTGTGTGTGAGCAAGTTGGTTCTGTGATCATATTGTTTGCTCTTAATGTTAAAGAGAAAGGGCGGTCTCATGGGCGCAGCTCTGAGCCAAGGGCCAAGAAAAATGCCCTAGTTCGAACCTCCCACTGGCTCCTGACTCACTGGGCAGCTGTGAGCAAGTCAGTGCCCCTCTCTGTGCCTCAGTTTCCTCACCTGAGACAAAGGGAATTACACGGTGCTTCAGGCAGTGAGTCCTAGCAGAGCGGGATGCCAGGCAGCTTTGGCCCAAGCTCTGATCCGCTGCAACAAACTCTGTTGCTGGCTCAGGTAGGGACTAAGATGTGTATAGAACAAAGATTAGATCCAACGCAGACCACTCAGGGCGGTACCTTGTAATATCTCCCATACTCGAAGCACCCGCAGCTGTCCTGAGGCACACAGCCCTGGCCATCGAAGAGGAAGCCGGCGTCACACTGGCAGCCTTCGGCACAGGTCTCCGGGCAGTTTATATTGTTTCTAGCACAGGCGCTGGAGCAGAGGCTGGCACATACTTCGTAGTAGCTGTTGGCTGGGCAGGTCATGGCTTAAATAGGGAGAGAAACAATTGAGGGCAGGAAAGATCTCACAGCATGAGCCAGGCCCAGAGACATGAGGGAGAGGAGAACAGGCTGGGAGGACGTGTTTTTAAGGTTGGTTCCCATCCAGAAGAATTTCTGAAGAAATCCAGAGATCTGGAATGAGATGCCTTGCAATTATGACACCCACCCCCAACTCACTCCCAGAGTATCCTTCAGCATCCCGGCACTTACGGCAGAAGGAGGTGCTCCTCCAGGGCTGGATGGAGGCCCCAGCCTCCTGGCAGGCCGTCACGTAGCTGTGGATGCTCTGGCACAGGACCGGGGAGTCCCCGTTGGCCAGGCACACGTCATAGAGGCAGTTGTTGAAATACACGCTGGGGCTGACCGTGCCATGGCAGGCGGCGAAGGGGCCGTCAGGGGCCGTGAGCACCCCGCAGTAGTGGCGCTGTTTGAAGACGTCCTTCTTCCTCTCCTCACAAACCGGGCAGCTGTTCCCACTGCATCCGTCCTCGCAGGCCGCCCCCGGGACCGGGACTTTCCAGGCCGACCCGAACGCTGCCATATTAGGGGCCAGCCTGCCACCGGGGAGCAGGAACTCGTCGTCCCGGCGCCCGTTGTAGTTCCCGCACAAGCCACACGTCTGTCCCTGGTAGTTAACTGGAACAGTGACTCTGGCCTGGTAAACCAGGTCATAGCTCACGGTGAGGCCAAAGTCCGTTTGCACCAGCATGTTCCCGCCGTGCTGATATGCTTGGAGCTGCCCCTCGGCCACGACCAAAGGCAGGTTGTGGGAGACCCCATCCACCTGGGAGAGACAGAGTGTTCCCTGTGAGTCACGAGGAGCAGACGCTGTAAGGATTGGGACAAGGACTTTTGAGCGTCTGCTCTGATTGACACTGGTATAAACCTAGAATGACTCCAGACTTACTCCAGTGCCACTGAGATCAGAATCTGGCCCCAGGCCTGCAATAAATCAGAGGCAATAAAAGCCCTAATCACAGTACCACATGATTACTCTGGCCCACATCTCTCTCGGCCCCTCACTTCACTCCTCATACTTTCTCTTCTCCCCTCCGTCCATCTCCTTACCCTGCTCTTTGTCCGTACCTCTTTGGGGGTATGCCTAGACTACACCACTCTGACAAAAGAGAGATGTAGATTAGGCACGTCAAAATTGCTAAATAAGCAAGGATTTAAATATCCTGCGCTTCATTAGCATAACCATAGCCGCTGCTTTTTTTAAAAACTGTTTTTTGGAAAAAACCACAGCAGTCTAGACACAGATCTGTCAAAAAATAACCCCTTTTTCGAAAGATCCTGTAAACCTTATTTTTTGAGGAATACAGGATCTTTCGAAAAAGGGTTTATGTTTTGACAGAGCCACGCCTAGACTGACTTTTTTTCAAAAATATCTGTTTAAAAAAAAAGCGGTGGCCATGTTATGCGAATGAAGCACGGGATATTTAAACCCCTGCTTTATTAGCAATTTCGACGTGCCTAATCTACATCTCTGTCAGCAGAGAGGTGTAGTCTAGACACAGCATGGGAGCCGACCTCACCGCATCTCAGCCCTTCCCTTTGTGCTCGCCTGTACTGTGTGATTTTTGTTAGGTGCTCAGCAATGTTCCCTCCAATCTCTTCCATCCACGTGAGGATTTTTTCCATCCATGTGTGGAATAAATTATTTTATGTGCACTGAGGCATGTTGAATGTGCTCCAGCAGTAGAAACAAACAAAAGCAACCGAACAGAGGGTGCTCTGCTACTCAGCTGGGCAGCATTTTAGTCTCTCCTGAGTGGCTGCACAAGCACTCAGCTTACAAGGCACACTGGTGCTCAGATAATCAGCATCACTGCTCTGACTTGAGTCACTCCCTGCTGACCTGCTCCTCCCCTGCTGTGCTGAGGAGCCCCCCCAGAGTCAAGGGGGGAGTAGAGGGAGGCCTGAGGGAGGATTTCAGAGACAGAGAAGGGTAACAGTTCCGCTGCCAACAGACAGATTTTCAGCGAGAGGATGGTCAGGAGAGTTCAGATTCAAAGTCTATAGCCGGGGGAAAAGGGAGGCAAATCTTTAAGGGAAAACATCTTTTCCTGACATTTGGGACTCAATTCTGGCCTACTTCTCTGCTCTTCCTTCAATACTGCCCACCTCCCTCCTGTTCCTCTCTCTGGAGCATCCTCTTCTCCTCTGGCCACATTTGGCCTGCTTCCTGCCCACCCCTTCACTCACATCTGGGTTTTTCTTCTTGTCCATCTCCCCCTCCCCTAAAATCCTGAGTTAGGAGCCAAGAAGGGAAGCAGAGAAGGTGGAGCTGAGTTGGAGGATGCTCATTGTGCCCAGGAGAAGCCCTCATATAGCAGCCTCCAGGAATACTACTTTCAACCATCTCCTCTTGGCTAGGAGACTGCCCCTTCCTCCAGGGAAGACCTGCCCTCAGTTACTCATGCTTTTGCCTGCTCTTGGCTGGATTACAGCCGTGCAATAGAACTGGACACAAGACTTGTGCGCTTTGAAAATGCCAGCTGGAGCACTCCTGTACAACACATCTCCCCCACAGCACTGGCTGCTGTGAACCTCCCAAACCCGTCCTAAGCTCCCTAGAGAGAACACCAAGTCCAGGTGACATTCTCTGTCCTTGTCTTCAAGGGTGCTCGCTATCCTGAGTCCGGCGTATCTAAAACATCAGTTAAACATCTGGGATGAGACGCCTGTGTACGCAGGGTCTGAAGGAGCTCTCCCTAACGTCTGGTGAAGAGCTGGGGGGAGGACTTCGGAAGAGATGGGAGGTTCATGAACACCCCTCAGCAGAGGGGCTGCTTTGCCAGCATGGTCAGTGTTGGCTGGGGGGTGCAGAGGGAGTGAAACCTGGCTATCCTGATGGCGTGAAGAAAGCGGAGCAGAAGGGTACTTGGCTAGCCCTGATTGATGGAGGCGTTTCCCATCAGGAAGAGGGGCAAACAGGGGCATGAACCCCAGAATAATCAGCATGGGACACAGGACTCTGCCTGCTTTTGACCTGTGGCAAGGAGAAAGTCACAGCCCCAGAGCTGGGGGAGTCCTCTCTCCCTGGGGATGAAAGGGGAGAGAGGCAGGGAGCTCCTCCCAGAGAGCGTGGGGAGTGGTGAGACCCTCCCGGGGCCAGTGCCGATGGAGCAGTGAGCCCCTCCTGGGGACAGTGCTGGGGGAGCAGTGAGGCCCTCCCTCCACTACCCCCCCGGCCTCCTATGCAGAGAGGAGGAGGTAACACACGTGCAACAGGTGGCATATTGCTCAATGCATTCCTGGAAGATGCTTGTGATAAGCCTTGTGACAGGGTGGCTTGCCCCTGAGGGGACAGAGGCCTGAGACTAACCAAACCTTAGATTGAGTCCGCTCATGTACCACCAGTCACCAGATTGCCTTATAAGAGCAGATGGAGGAGTCCAGAGAGCTGGCCCAGCAGGGAGCTCTCAGGGAAAACAGAGAAGAGTGCAGAGGTTGCTGCAGGCCAGTACACGTCAGCAGGGAAACCTGACACTTGGGCAGTGAGAGGACAGGCGGGAAATGCCTGGGAGTGACCAGAAAAAGAGATAAGTGAAGGGTCTTGAAAATGTAACTTGTGGGTTACATAAATAAGCCAGACTCCCAGAAGGACAGTTATTATGGGCATTTCTAAAAGTTCTTCAAAAGTTCAAGAGGGGAAACTGAGGCAGGCCCCTGCACAGTGGCCATGGGGGGGACAAACCAGTATAGAATAGGAAAGAATTGCTCTGTCCAAAAGGAACACTCGGAATGATCTGCATGAGGATGTGGAGAAGGACTTACCATGATGAGCCCTTGTCTGTTCTGCAGCAGGGTGAGTGTGATCCCGTACACCTGGATGGACACCTGCTTGGCCACGGACACGTTCCCGCTGCCCCAGGATTCTTTCTCTATACGGATGGTGAATGGCGTCAGGTTGCTGGAGTCAGTGCAGGTCTTGGCCAGGATGTAGGTGCAGGTGCCTTGGAAGTCAAAGGGGACCCCATCGAAAGAGAGGTAGTGGGGATGGCCAGAGGCAGAACAGGTGGCAGATCCAAATGGGTGGCATTTCCGGACACCGTCCACCACCCCGCACTGCTCACCAGTACCACAGGTGAAAGCCTTACACACAACTTCTCCCCCAGCCTGACACATGCACTGCTCCTCGCAAGAGTCGCTTGGGTGAAAGGTTTCCCCGACCTCGTAGTAAAGACCTCTGTGGAGACATCCACACTGGGAAATGGGGACACAGCGGTCGCCACTGAGAACAAAGCCCTCGTCACACACGCAGCCTTCCTTGCACTGGGTCGTGCATTGCACCGGGGCATAGAGGTTGCTGCATGTCAGATCACAGCTGCTGCGGCAGAATTCATAGTGACTGTTCAGGGTCATTGCAGGACATGCAATTTCATTCAAGATCCTAATTGTTTTTCTTTGGTTTCATTCATTAAAAAACATGAAACACCCCTAATAAGATTCTGGGCCACAATGAGCCATTGCAGGACATGCAATGTCATTCAAGCTCTTAATTGTTTTCCTTTGATTTCATTAATTGAAAAACAGGAAACACCCCTAATAAGATTCTGGGTCTGGAGGTCTGTGGGCCCACCAGCACTGGGCAATGGCATACAGACGACCTATCTGGTCTGGTCAAAGAGCCAAGTGTTGGGAGGGGAAGGCCCATCGATGGCCATCTGAAGCTTTTTGTTTATTTTTTTGTTTTCTGCAAGAGTGACCCCATAGGGGAAGCAGTGCGGAGCAGGGGGTACTCACGGCAGAATTTCGGTGTCCTCCAGGAATACACCACAGCTCCAGCTTCCTGACATGCCTCGGCATAACCAGCAATGGCCTGGCAGACGTTACTCTCCCGCCCACTCAGGAAGCAATAGTCGTACACACAGTCTAGGAAGTATCCATGCGGGTCCATGTTGCGGTGACATCCTCGGAAGGGGCCACCCGTGTCCAGGATGAGCCCACACTGCCCTCTGCTCCCTCGCTGCTGTTCTTCAATAGCTTCTAGATTTGCACATGGAGGTATCGTCACTGCAGAGCATCCAGGGACGTCTCCCACCTTCCAGCTCTGGCCAAAGCTGCCGAGGTTGGGTGCCAGCGTGCCGTCCCTCATCTGGAAGTCATCCTCCCTGTCCCTGTTGAAGTTGCCACACAGACCACACACGGCCCCCGCGTAGGTGACAGGCAGCGTGACCGTGGTGCGTCCTGACCAACCAGTAAAGGTCACGCTGAGGCCAAAGTCTGTCTGGATCACTGTGGCCCAGCCTTTCCTATACGTAGTTATTTTCTTATCCTCGAGGGTGGAGGGGAGACTAATCAGGAAATTGTTCACCTGCAAACGTAAGAGACATGGAACATTGTTCACCTCTGATTGCAGCACAGAGCTGCATTGTTATAATAATCTACGGCTCCTGACATCTTTGTCCCGGCTGAGCTGCTCTCTTCTTTACAGCCTGCCTGGATCCCATCTTCCCAGAATGGGCAGAATACCTTTTTCCCTGATAATGGTCATTGCAGCTCACTCCCCTATGTCTGACCTGAGCCTCAGCTTTCCAAGTTCTAATATATCTTGAAAGTTATTGACACGGATGTCATGTAACCGCTTCTCCCTGACCCTTAAGTGTCTCCATTTGCTCCCTATGTACATAAGGATTCAGTTTAGTCTGTCAGTTTTGTTTAAATCCTTCCATGCCCTTTCTGCACCAACTAGACTAGATGTGATTCCTGAAACTCACCATGATTTTGCCAGGGAATTGAGTGCTGACCCTGAGGTCAGTCTCAGAAACCTTGATCTGCACAGGAGCAATATTGCTGTCCTGGAAGTAGACTTCAAAGTCCACCAGCCCCTCTGCCTTCTTGCACAGGGCTGTGAGCTGGTAGCGACAGGTGCCTTGGAAGGTGTATGTCTCTCCATCGAAGGTGGTGTAGTGACGACTGCTTGTCATGGAGCAGGTGGCATAGCTGGAGGGGTAACAGCCCCGCACACCGTGCACTAGCCCACACGTCTCCGAATGTTTGCACACGGCAGCCTGGCATTCGACTTGTCTAGAGTCTGCGTTGCATTTGCACAGTGTGCCACATGCCTCATCCAGCCAGAAGCTCTCATTGGGGGCATAGGGGCGCCCCTCAGACAGGCACCCACAGCCGCTCTTGGGTATGCATTTCCCCTGGCTCAGCACAAAACCATCCTTGCACTGGCAGCTTTCCACACAGGGGTCTTGGCAGCTGCTGGGGGCCGAGTGGTCCACACAGGTGGCTGGGCAGGCTGTTCCACAGAGCTGGTACTGGCTGTTCTCCAGGGGGCATTCCAGGGCTGGGGAGCGAAGGAGCCACAGATTAACATCATGTTGTCTCTAGGCAAAAGCAGTGTTCACACCGACAGAGGGGCTGTATCTCGGGGCGCTCTGAGAACCGTGGAATCCCAGTGGCCTTGGTGGGACCCAAGGGTGCTTGGGACATTGGAGGACAGGGACTGGCATGAATAGCTCAAGATGCGAATGTGAAGAAGGCTTGGAGCTACTTTAAAGCAAAGTGGATGAAAGAATCTGAAGCTTGGCTTCCAAGCAAGGGGAAGAAATTCATAGGAAAGGATTTCAGACCAAGTTGGAGGAGCAAACATCTGAAGCCAGCGATTAAGAGATAGGAGAATGAAGGGGTGTCATTTTGGGAGGGCAAGGAATAAGAGGTCCTCCGGAAAAGGGCTTTATTCCGGAGGATCGCGCCAGTCTAGATGCTTTTTTCCGGCTTTTCCCCAAGCCGGAAAAAAGCGGCGGACATGTTTATTTAAATCCCGCGGGGGATATTTAAATCCCCCGCGGATTTCCCTATTCTGACTTACCTGCTTTGCATGACTTTTCCAGAATTAGGGGCCAGTCTAGATGTAGCCAGAGTGTAGAAAATTGTGTCTGCTGCTGGTGCATATGAATTCTCTCTGGGCTAGATGCACAGAGAGCTGTACCGTGAGAGGAGTAGAACAGGAAGAATTGAGACCTTTCCAAGTTTTGGCCCAAGCAAGGGAGCACGGGGGCGTCATTTGAGTACCCCGCCTCAGATGCCTAAATGTTGTGAGCCAGCCCTGGATTACAGCCACGCATACTGAGATGCTGCTTGCTCTTGGCATTTTCCCTGCACTGACAGAGAGTGTGGGGAAAGTACACAGCTTGTGTCACTCACTCCACTGCCCCCTGCCATGCCTGGTCAGGACCAAGAGGGAGGCAGGAAAACTGTGCGCCGGGTAGGAGAAGAGCAAGCAACTTCCTGCTACACTCAGCTGTAGCCTCTCAGCCCCATCCCTCTGGAATGGTGCCCTTGTGCAGAAAGCCAGCAAGGGATGGAGGACGAGATGGACCAAGAGGGAAAGCTGCTTCCTGACGCTTAGAAAGTATAGGAAAAAGTAAGACCTGCCAAAAGCCAAGCCAAGTCCGACCCTGCAATAGAAACTGCACCCAGCAGTAAAAAGGTTCCATTACCATAGAGGGAAAAGGGAAAGAAGGAAAGAAAAGTGAAACCATTATGCTCTGAGGGTGGCATGGAGACTAAAGATAATGCTGGCATGGCCCAACACATAAACAAATACTTTGCCTCAGTTTTCAGTAAGTTTAATCATGAGTTTAGGGGTATTGGCAGGACAACTAATGAGAATAAGTATGTGGAAGTAGAATTTAGCACATCCAAGGTTTAGATTAAACGCAAACAGCTTAATGGGATTACTTTAGGGGGGGGGGATAATTTCAATCCAAGACTATTACAATAACTGTCAAAATAAAATCCAAGGGCAAGGATTTTTAAAGAAACTACATTTGGGAGTCATACCCTTTGACTGGAGAAGTGCCAATTTATAAGGGGAAAACGTGATCTAGGAAATTACAGGCCTGCTACTTTGACCTCAATTGTATGCAAAGTCTTTGAAGGAGACAGTAGCTAAGGACATAGAGGTAAAAGGTAATTGGGATACATAGTTTTAAAAGAAAACCAATCTCCTTCTTTGAGAACATAACTGTTTTTTTAGACAAAGGGAATTCAGTAGATCAAATATACCTCATTTTCAGTAAGGCATTTGATACACTGCTACATAGGAACAAATTATTAGTTCACGTGGAGAAGACAGGGAGTCCTATGATTATTGAAAGGTGGATAAGCAAGCAATTAAAGGGGAGACGAAAACAGGCCATAATGAAAGGTGAATTGAAGGGTGGAGGCAAGTTATTAGTGGAGTCCCTTGGGATTGGTCTTGGAACGAGTCTTAGTTAACATTTTCATTAACAACCTTTGAACAATAAGTGGGATTGTGCTAACAACATTTGTGGCTGACATGGTGTGGGGAGGTATTGTCAATGGAGAAGAGGATTGGAATGTCAAACAAAGAAGAGCTGGGTGACCTTGAAAAGTGAAGAAACAGACTAAGAACAAGAAGTTTTGTTATATGCGGGGGACACATCAGTTGGAAGTGACAGAGGAGAAAGATCTATGTGTATTGGATGATCAAAGGATGGCTCTGCGCCACCAATGTGATGCACCCGGGAGAAAAAGTCTAATGCAGTCACAGGATGCTTGAGCAGCGGTATTTCCTGTAGAGGCAGAGAATTGTTAGCGCCTTGACAGAAGACGCTGGGGAGACCGTATCTGGGATACCGGGTGCCATTCAGAAATTGACCGCTAACAAGTTGAGTCTTGAATTAGATGAAGGTTTCTAACCACCACACGAGTGAAGCTCTGGAGCAGCCTCCCGAGAGCTGCAAGAGGCGTAAAAACCTGACTAGCCTGAAGCCGGAGCTTGCTAGTTTTGTGGAGGGGATGGCATGATGGGACTGCCTACAACAGCATGAGCGGGGAGCTGGCCTATGACTGCTGACAGCAGGTATCTCCAGCAGCCAGAGATGGGACACTAGGAGGAAGGGTTCTGATTCATCACAGAGATTTCTTTCCCAGGTGCCTCACTGGTGGGTCTCACCCACATGAGGGATAATTTCAATCCAAGACTATTACAATAACTGTCAAAAGGGAAGATAACTGATTTTTTTAGACAAAGGGAGTTCAGTAGATCAAATATACCTCATTTTCAGTAAGGCATTTGATACACTGCTACATGGGAACAAATTATTAGTTCACGTGGAGAAGACAGGGAGTCCTATGGTTATTGAAAGGTGGATAAGCAAGCAATTAAAGGGGAGACGAAAACAGGCCATAATGAAAGGTGAATTGAAGGGTGGAGGCAAGTTATTAGTGGAGTCCCTTGGGATTGGTCTTGGAACGAGTCTTAGTTAACATTTTCATTAACAACCTTTGAACAATAAGTGGGATTGTGCTAACAACATTTGTGGCTGACATGGTGTGGGGAGGTATTGTCAATGGAGAAGAGGATTGGAATGTCAAACAAAGAAGAGCTGGGTGACCTTGAAAAGTGAAGAAACAGACTAAGAACAAGAAGTTTTGTTATATGCGGGGGACACATCAGTTGGAAGTGACAGAGGAGAAAGATCTATGTGTATTGGATGATCAAAGGATGGCTCTGCGCCACCAATGTGATGCACCCGGGAGAAAAAGTCTAATGCAGTCACAGGATGCTTGAGCAGCGGTATTTCCTGTAGAGGCAGAGAATTGTTAGCGCCTTGACAGAAGACGCTGGGGAGACCGTATCTGGGATACCGGGTGCCATTCAGAAATTGACCGCTAACAAGTTGAGTCTTGAATTAGATGAAGGTTTCTAACCACCACACGAGTGAAGCTCTGGAGCAGCCTCCCGAGAGCTGCAAGAGGCGTAAAAACCTGACTAGCCTGAAGCCGGAGCTTGCTAGTTTTGTGGAGGGGATGGCATGATGGGACTGCCTACAACAGCATGAGCGGGGAGCTGGCCTATGACTGCTGACAGCAGGTATCTCCAGCAGCCAGAGATGGGACACTAGGAGGAAGGGTTCTGATTCATCACAGAGATTTCTTTCCCAGGTGCCTCACTGGTGGGTCTCACCCACATGAGTAGGTGCCAGCTGATTACCAGATTTAGAATGAATTGTCTCCTAGGTCAGATTGGCAGAGAGCCTGGGGATGATTTGCTTAATAGTCATTTACATGGTGGCTTCTGTGGCAGGTACGTGAAGCCTTTAATTCATGATTAGAGGATGTCAGTAAGTCAGCCAGAGGTCGGGGCCTACTTCAGGAGCGGTGGGCGAGGTTCTGTGCTTTGTAATGTCAGGTCACACTAGAGGAACATGCTGTCCCTTCGGAGCTTAGAGCAATAGGGCTCTACCTGCAGTTATGGGCCACTTGCACAGAGCTGTGGCCCATGTGATGCCCTCGGGCCATGTGTTGTGTGAAAGCGGCTCACAGAACACACAGAGAACTCCAGATGTGGCCTAAAATGGGAAACAGGTTGAGAATATCTGTCTCAGAGGCTATGATTCTAGGAGTGACCTAAATACCGACACCTTACCACAGTCTCCCGGCTGTTGTGAATGGATATTAGATACCCAGCGACAGGCACCGTGGCCATACCCTGGACAGACAAGTACAGTGGGTACAAGAGAACCCAGGAGTCCTGATTTCTTGACTGATATTTGCTCAGTCACAAACTGCTTGATCACACCCCTTCCCAAAACCAGGGCTAGAACTCCACAATGCTGGGCCAGAGTCCCAGATCTAACTGCAGAGCACAGACCTTGGCATACAACTCTGTACTCACGGCATCTGGCTAGCTGCCTCCAGTCCCCAAGTCTGACCCCCTCCAGCTGGCAGGCATCCGCGTAGGCCTTCAGGGCCTCGCACAGGGCCTTCCTGTAGCCGTCGGTGTGGCAGAGATCGTACACGCAGTTGTCCAAGTAGGCTGTAGGATCCACCTTGGCGTGGCACTGGCTGAAGGGCCCATCTGAGACCTTGGTTATCAGGCCACATGAGTCCTCCTCCTTGTACTTTCTGGCTATGCTGGCGGCACAGGGCTTGCAGCCCCCAATGCAGTCATGCCAGCAATGCTGTTCCTCATCTTCCACTGCCCAGCTTCTCCCCAGGGCGGCAACACTGGGAGCCAGGTCCCCGTCTGGGGTCTGGAAGTCATCAGTGGGATCCCCGTTATAGTTACCGCACAGGCCACACAAGCTGTTGGAGAAGTCACGGGGGACGGTGACCCTCAGGTGGTTGTTCCAGTCATAGGCTACGCTGAGCTTGAAGCTGGTGCGGAGGACAAGGGAGGTGCCGCTCTGATAGAGACGAAGGACACCATTGTTCAGGGAGATGGGTAAGTGGGCCCTGGTGTTATTCACCTTCATGGTAAGAAAAAAAGGGCAAAGGTCACAACTGAGTGCACCATCTGCCATTTCTTTACATTGAAGAACGCCTTCTTTCGAAAGAGGAACTTTCGAAAGAAGGCGTTCTTCCTCGTAAATTGAGGTTTACCGCCATCGAAAGAAAAGCCGCGTTCTTTCGAATTAATTTCGAAAGAACGCGGCTTGAGTCTGGACGCAGGGGAAGTTTTTTCGAGAAAAGGCTACTTTTCCCGAAAAAACCCCTGAGTCTGGACACAGCCTAGAAGTGAGAAGCCCTTTAGCAGTTCCACAGACAGACAATACAGTGGGCACAATAATACCAGGGCACAATCTTTCCTCATACCCTCTCCCTATAACCAGGCTAGAACTCAAAAGTGATGAGCATAAATTTTCCCAATTTAACCATAGACAATAAATCATATTTCTACTCACAGCATCTGGCTAGCTGCCTCCAGTCCCCAATCCTGACCCCCTCCAGCTGGCAGGCATCCGCGTAGGCCTTCAGGGCCTCGCACAGGGCCTTCCTGTAGCCGTCGGTGTGGCAGAGATCGTACACGCAGTTGTCCAAGTAGGCTGTAGGATCCACCTTGGCGTGGCACTGGCTGAAGGGCCCATCTGAGACCTTGGTTATCAGGCCACATGAGTCCTCCTCCTTGTACTTTCTGGCTATGCTGGCGGCACAGGGCTTGCAGCCCCCAATGCAGTCATGCCAGCAATGCTGTTCCTCATCTTCCACTGCCCAGCTTCTCCCCAGGGCGGCAACACTGGGAGCCAGGTCCCCGTCTGGGGTCTGGAAGTCATCAGTGGGATCCCCGTTATAGTTACCGCACAGGCCACACAAGCTGTTGGAGAAGTCACGGGGGACGGTGACCCTCAGGTGGTTGTTCCAGTCATAGGCTACGCTGAGCTTGAAGCTGGTGCGGAGGACAAGGGAGGTGCCGCTCTGATAGAGACGAAGGACACCATTGTTCAGGGAGATGGGTAAGTGGGCCCTGGTGTTATTCACCTTTGTGATGAGAAAGAAAGGGCAAAGGTCACAATCACGTGCACAGGCCTTTCGTTTACATACCGAGCTCCACTCCAGTGTGGTTGGTCACTGGTGTGTGCCAATCCCCATAACCAACAGGGGTTTGAGAAGACTGCGCTGTGTCCAAGAAGTCGATTTCAAAACCTGGCTGGTTTCTCCTGCCGCCAGCTCCCTGGCAGCCTGCTGAGCAGACTGGCTGGAGGCTGGGGTTCCAGTCTTCATCACAAAATGTAACAATTCACAGGGGTTGTGCCCTATCCTAAGGAAGCTCATTTTCAAACTACTGAAGCTTCAGGGGGTAGCCGAGTTAGTCTGTACAGAAAAAACAACAAATGGTCTGGGAGCACTTTGTAGACTAACAAAACATGTATCATGAGTTTTCGTGGGCACTGGCCACTTCTTCAGATGACTGGAGTTTTGAGTTTAGGGTATGAAGACCCAAAATAAATAGGAGAGAAGGTGTGGGGGGAGGGAAAAAAGAGGGGGGTGGGAGACAGGGAGCTAGAGGGAATCAGTAAGTATCTGAAGCTTGGGTAGTTAAAACGCAGCAGATAAGAATCAAAGTCAATTGACAATACTGACTTTGTGCCAGGGATGTGTCATGATCGAAGTGCTCAAGTCTACGCTTTACTGGGCATGCAGATCCCATTTCCTCGAGACAGAGCCAACAGCTCCCCACGCCGAGTCACGCACCCCACTCTCCGCAGCACAGCACCCTCGCGTGCCATGCTGGGGACGGGGGTCAACGTGACTCCCCACGGCACACCGGGGCTTACGTCAGTACCGAGGTCGCCTCTGTAACTACTGAGCAGGCTGCTTTGACTGGAGCCCATAGGGGACACGAGTCAGCTGGGCACTTTCAGAACCCATCACATCCCAACCACTTTTCTTTGCCTGCTCTGCCCTAGCCGCAACATGCCCCATCTCTGGCGGGGCCTGCTGTTTCCTGCCTTTTATTGAGCAATGCCAATGGGCATAGGAGGAGGTTGGGCCCAGCACTCACCCACACCAAGCTGATCTCAGCCCTGGCAGCTGTGATGGTGACTCCATCCACCTGGATGGTCACTGATCCAATGTAGAAGACCTGTGTGCTCCCACTGTTCTCACTCTTGGCCGTAATGCGGAAGGAGGGCAGGACGGAGTCACCCTTGCAGGTTTTGGCCACAGTGTAGGTGCAGTTGCCATGGTAATCATAAGCCCGTCCGTCAAAGGTGTGGTAATGCAAGTATCCCCTGGCCCAGCACGTGCCCTGAGACACTGGCACACACTCTGGCTGCCCATTTATCATTTTGCAGATAGCTCCTTCCCTGCAGACGACCACGCTGCAGGGTGAAATTGGAGGCTCTAGCAGGGAAAGACAAAAGACAGAGGAGATATGCCAGACTAATCAGTAACATCTGTCTAACTTTCCATCTTTCTCCCCACATGCCTCCTTATATCCATAATCACAAAGCACTCCCGTTTCCCTTCCTCCCCCGGCACTGCCTTTGCATCATCCACAAACCTCCCACAAATCCCACGCCGAGGAAATTGCCGACCCAGCTCTTCTGTGCACATGGGGTGCTGGATAGAGCAGAGACCCTGACCCAACATTGTTCCAGACAAAATTCTGTCATAGTCGGGTCAGGATTTCAGGCTAAATAAAGGGAGAGGGAGAGGGAGAAGGATGAATAGACACAGAGAACATGACTTTTCTCACCACTTGCGAGTAACCCACAGAGCACGTTTCAATCACTGACTCTCCATTACCTTTTCCGATGCAGCCCATGACGCCGTCTCTAATCTGGCAGGTTTCTCTGCTGCCGCAGCGGTGGACTTTGCAGGTCAGCCCTCGGGCAGGAACACAGGTGCAGCTTTGCTGGCACTCGTTTGTCAGGACCACCTCGCTGGGCTGTGGGGTGTTTGGAAAGGGGGAAATAAGGCAATGTGACAGGAATTGGTCATTTAAAATAATTTCTGGCCGTGATTAAGAAATACATTAAGGTGCAGATCTTATTATTTTAACAACACAGGATTTTAAAAAAATCATTACGATCAATCAGAGTTTGAGATACCTACAACACTCCAAAAACATCTGTTAAAAGAATCTTTTTCTTTCTTACTTTGGGATACGCAGGCTTAATTCTTGGCGCCATCACAGACTTCTTGAGTGAGCTCAGATAAGCCCCTAAGCGTACATCTGCACTACAGCTGGGGGTGTAAGTTACAGCTCAAGGAGCCATACACTCAGGTTTGGGAATCTCCCTAATATCCTCAGACATGAAGACTGAAACAAAGAATGTATTTAGTTTCTCCACAATGACCTTATCATCTTTGAGTGCTCCTTGAGCATCTCGACTGTCCTGTGGCCCTACTGGGTGTTTAGCCAACTTCCTGCTAATTTTAAAATATTTTGCTATTACTTTTTGAGTTCTTGGCTAGCTGCTCTTCAAACTCCTTTTTGGTTTTCCTTACTACATTTTTACACTGAATTTGACAGAGTTTATACTCCGTTCTGTTTTTAACTCCCACTTTTTAAACAATGCCTTTTTATCTCTCATGGCTTCTTCTTCTTGCTTGTTAAGCCAAGGTGGAATATTTTGGGTTCCCTTATGGTGTATTTTAATTTGGGGTACACATTTAAGTTGGCCCTCTGTTGTGGTAGTCCAACTTCCCATATGCTACTGGCTCACTGGGTGGCTTTGGGCAAGTCACTGCCCCTGTCTGTACCTGAGCTTCCCCAAAATCGACAAAAGGCTTTACGTTGTCTGGTCTTTATTGCACTCTGGGCATTGGGTAGAAGCAGAGTCGGATTGCCAAGACAATGCTCTGATGTGCTACCGCCAACCATGTTCCTGATTAGCATACAGAGTAAGATGTGTAGAGACCAAAAATTAGATTGGACACAGACGCCTAGAAGCTGCACCTTGTAGTATCTCCCTTCTTTGAAGCACCCGCAGCTCTCCTGAGGCACACAGCCCTGGCCGTCAAAGAAGAAACCATCGTCACACTGGCAGCCTTCAGCACAGGTCTCTGGGCAGCCCATGATGTCTCCAGTGCAGGAGGAGGTGCAGAGGTCGGCACAGAGCTCATAGTGGCTGTTGTTCGGGCAGCTCATAGCTTAAATAGAGAGAGAAATGATGAATGCCGGGAGTGAGCTCACGCCCCAGCTTAGACCGACAGACAAGGAGAGGAGAGCGGAACAGAGAGGAGAGGACATGGCACCGTTGTCACAGAACAGGAGATTGTTTGGTTCCCCCCAGAACAGTTCCAGAGGAAACCTGGCGATCTGGAACGAGATGCCTAGTAACACTGACCCCCCTCTTCCACAGAGCGCCTTCCTCAGGGCACTTACGGCAGAAGGAGGAGTTCCTCCAGGGCTGGATGAAGACCCTGGCCTCTTGGCAGGCTGTCACATAGCTATGGATGCGCTGGCACAGAATCTCTGTATGCCCGTTGGCCAGGCACACGTCAAAAATACAATTGTTCAGATAGACGCTGGGGCTGACTGTGCCGTGGCAGGCGGCGAAGGGGCTGTCAGGATCTGAGAGCAGCCCGCAGTAGTTGCTCCCTTTGAAGACCTCCTTCTTCCGCTCCTCACAAACCGGACAGCTGTTTCCAGCACACCTGTCTACACAGGATGCTCCTGGGATCGGGACTTCCCAAGCAGAGCCAAATGCTGCCACATCAGGGGCTGTGCTTCCGTCGGGGAGCAGGAATTCCTCATCTTCCCGTCCATTGTAGTTCCCACACAGGCCACACGTCTGGCCCCGGTAGCTCCCTGGGATAGTCACTCTGGCCTGGTAAACCAGGTTGTAGCTCATGGTGAGGCCAAAGTCAGTTTGCACTAGGACATTAGAGCCATGCTGATACGCTCGCCATTGGCCCATTATCACCGGGAGGTTGTGAGACACCCCATCCACCTGAGAAAGACAGCACATTCCGCTCGTGAGCAGAAAGGGTGAGCACTGCATGTGTGGGTAATGGCTATGGACAACAAGGTTTGAAATTCAGCTCTCACTGCCCCCTGTGGTGAAATCCAGAATGATTCATGGCTTCGGAATGATTTGTCCTCACCTTCCAAACTCTTCACCTTGTCACTCTGACCTACAGTTTTTATCTCATCTCTCAGGCACTTCCCTCTCTCCTGATCCTCTGTCTTTATCCTCCCCATCTCCTCAACCCATGCTTGGTTTGCTCTTTGTCATGGCAATTTCTGGACTCAGAACAATATCCTACTTCTTCTACATCTCCCCTCTCTCCTAAAAACTCTCTCCCCCGGTGGTGACACCTTCCTTCATCCTCTCTCTCTTCCTCCTTTCTAAAACATGTTCCACTGTGTTGTGTTCAATTTGTACCAAAGGCGACTGCCATGGGACAGATTCTTCAGCAAAGAGACTCCTAGAACTGCGTAGTAACCTCAAAACATCAGAGTCCAATGGCAAAGAGCTAATGCCTGGGATTGACCAGAAAAGGAGGTGAATGACTGCATGTGAAAACTCCTATTGGAACGATCCTCCGAGGAGGGCTGTTGCTATTGGACTTGAAAAATTTAGACTTGGACTTTTGCAAATTATTGACAAATCCAAGATGGGAAGCTGAGGCAGCCACATAGAGTGATCTTGGGCCACGAAAGAACACTCGGAATGATCTACATGAGGATGTGGAGAAGGACTTACCATGATGAGCCCTTGTCTGTTCTGCAGCAGGGTGAGTGTGATCCCGTACACCTGGATGGACACCTGTTTGGCCACGGACATGTTCCCACTGCCCCAGGATTCTTTCTCTATACGGATGGTGAATGGCGTTAGATGGCTGGCGTCAGTGCAGGTCCTGGCCAGGATGTAGGTGCAGGTGCCTTGGAAGTCAAAGGGGACCCCATCGAAAGAGAGGTAGTGGGGATGACCAGAGGCAGAACAGGTCACAGATCCAAATGGGTGGCATTTCCGGACACCATCCACCAGCCCGCACTGCTCACCAGCACCACAGGTGAAAGCCTTACACACAACTTCTCCCCCAGCCTGACACACGCACTGCTCTTCACACGAGCTGCTTGGGTGGAAGATATTCCAGGACTGGTAGTAAAGTCCCCTGTGGAGGCATCCGCACTGGGAAAGGGGGACACAGTGGTCACCACTGAGAACAAAGCCATCGTCACACATGCAGCCTTCCTTGCATTGGGTCGTGCATTTCACCGGGGCATAGAGGTTGCTGCATGTCAGATCACAGCTGCTGCTGCAGAATTCGTAGTGACTGTTCTGGGGACAGGATGCAGCTGTAAGAAGAATAAAGAATTAGCTCACCGAGTTCATTAGCAATATGCACAATGAAGTGTTGTAGGACATGAAATTTCATTCAATCTCCTAAATTTCTATTTTCTTGTCTTGGTTAATTAATAAGAGGCACCCTCTGTAAACCAGTCAGGCCTGATTAACTTGATTGCCTGTGTCCTATTGCCTGATTTCTTTGAAGCAATCTTTTTCCTAGGACTCAGCTTCTTATTTTGACTAAGGTCTTGGTGTAGAAGGTGGAGGGCTCATGCACCTGGGAGTGTCCTGCGGATTTCTCACCACTGGCTTTTTGTTGTGAAAACAGATTGACAATGCTTAAAACTCCAATGGAGAAGGAGTTGGTGAGTTCCTAGTGGACAACCCCCATGTCCCAGCTCTAATTCTGTCCCTGTCTCACCACATAAGACAAGGACCAGATGAGTTGTGAAGGATACAGGTACAGCTCTGGGGCAGCTTCTATGGCCTCCGGCAATGCTGTTCCCATCCTTTGGAGACACAACTTAGTAGTAAATTAAGAAATGTTTTACATTGCCTGATCATTTCAATAAGGATCTCACAGCCAGCTCAGAATAGTAATCCCCATAGGGCAGGCAGTGCTGAGAAGGGAAGACTCACGGCAGAATTTTGGAGTCCTCCAGGGATACACCACAGCTCCAGCTTCCTGACATGCCTCGGCATAACCAGCAATGGCCTGGCAGACGTTACTCTCCCCCCCACTCAGGAAGCAATAGTCGTACACACAGTCTAGGAAGTATCCATGCGGTTCCACCTTGTGGTGACATCCTCGGAAGGGGCCACTCTTTTGGAGAATGAGCCCACACTGCCCTCTGCTCAGTCGCTGCTTTTGTTCAATAGCGTCTAGATTTGCACATGGAGGTATCGTCACAGCAGAGCATTCAGGGACGTCTCCCACCTTCCAGCTCTGGCCAAAGCTTCCGGGGTTGGGTGCCAGCGTGCCGTCCCTCATCAGCTTCAATAGCTTCTAGATTTGCACATGGAGGTATCGTCACTGCAGAGCATCCAGGGACGTCTCCCACCTTCCAGCTCTGGCCAAAGCTGCCGAGGTTGGGTGCCAGCGTGCCGTCCCTCATCTGGAAGTCATCCTCCCTGTCCCTGTTGAAGTTGCCACACAGACCACACACGGCCCCCGCGTAGGTGACAGGCAGCGTGACCGTGGTGCGTCCTGACCAACCAGTAAAGGTCACGCTGAGGCCAAAGTCTGTCTGGATCACTGTGGCCCAGCCTTTCCTATACGTAGTTATTTTCTTATCCTCGAGGGTGGAGGGGAGACTAATCAGGAAATTGTTCACCTGCAAACGTAAGAGACATGGAACATTGTTCACCTCTGATTGCAGCACAGAGCTGCATTGTTATAATAATCTACGGCTCCTGACATCTTTGTCCCGGCTGAGCTGCTCTCTTCTTTACAGCCTGCCTGGATCCCATCTTCCCAGAATGGGCAGAATACCTTTTTCCCTGATAATGGTCATTGCAGCTCACTCCCCTATGTCTGACCTGAGCCTCAGCTTTCCAAGTTCTAATATATCTTGAAAGTTATTGACACGGATGTCATGTAACCGCTTCTCCCTGACCCTTAAGTGTCTCCATTTGCTCCCTATGTACATAAGGATTCAGTTTAGTCTGTCAGTTTTGTTTAAATCCTTCCATGCCCTTTCTGCACCAACTAGACTAGATGTGATTCCTGAAACTCACCATGATTTTGCCAGGGAATTGAGTGCTGACCCTGAGGTCAGTCTCAGAAACCTTGATCTGCACAGGAGCAATATTGCTGTCCTGGAAGTAGACTTCAAAGTCCACCAGCCCCTCTGCCTTCTTGCACAGGGCTGTGAGCTGGTAGCGACAGGTGCCTTGGAAGGTGTATGTCTCTCCATCGAAGGTGGTGTAGTGACGACTGCTTGTCATGGAGCAGGTGCCGTAGCTGGAGGGGTAACAGCCCCGCACACCGTGCACTAGCCCACACGTCTCCGAATGTTTGCACGCGGCAGCCTGGCATTCGACTTGTCTAGAGTCTGCGTTGCATTTGCACAGTGTGCCACATGCCTCATCCAGCCAGAAGCTCTCATTGGGGGCATAGGGGCGCCCCTCAGACAGGCACCCACAGCCGCTCTTGGGTATGCATTTCCCCTGGCTCAGCACAAAACCATCCTTGCACTGGCAGCTTTCCACACAGGGGTCTTGGCAGCTGCTGGGGGCCGAGTGGTCCACACAGGTGGCTGGGCAGGCTATTCCACAGAGCTGGTACTGGCTGTTCTCCAGGGGGCACTCCAGAGCTGGGGAGTGAAGAAGCTACAGATTAACATCATGTTATCTCCAGGCAAAAGCAGTGTTCACACCGACAGAGGGGCTGTATCTCGGGGCGCTCTGAGAGGCCTGGAATCCCAGGCTATGTCTAGACTGCAGGCTTCTTTCGGAAGAAGTGTTTCTGGAAAAGATCTTCGAAGAAACTTTTTCCTGAAGAGAGTGTCCACACTGCCAAAGCTCATCGAAAAAGAGATCTGCTTTTTCGATAGATAATATACACACTGAATGCACGCTCTCTCGAATGTAAGCAATGGTTACTATGGGTGGGGTGGCTACCAGGGTATTAGTTAAGATGCTTTCGAAAGAGCCTCTTTCGAAAGAGGCTTGCAGTCTAGACATAGCCTTAGTGTCTAATATCTGCTCAAAACACATGAGAGGCTGAGGTGAAATGATCCCAGTTTTTACATCACTTTTCCTACTATTGATTCATCCTCTAGACAGCAGCATGATGAGCACCCTTGGCTCCTATTGAAGCCACTGTGGGTCTGTCCACACTACAGAGTTCTTTTGGAAAAACAGCCGTTTTCTGAAAAAACTTAAATTACATCCACACTAAAATTGCATACTTTGGAAAGAAAATCAAAAGAAGAGAGGAGTTTTTTCAACATTCCATAAGGAAGAAGCCTTTTTCCAAAAGAGCTCTTTCGCAGAAAAGTGTGTGTGGACGGGGAAGAATGGGGGTATGTCTACACTACCCCGCTAGTTCGAACTAGCGGGGTAGTGTAGACATACCCCCATTCTTCCCCGTCCACACACACTTTTCTGCGAAAGAGCTCTTTTGGAAAAAGGCTTCTTCCTTATGGAATGTTGAAAAAACTCCTCTCTTCTTTTGATTTTCTTTCCAAAGTATGCAATTTTAGTGTGGATGTAATTTAAGTTTTTTCAGAAAACGGCTGTTTTTCCAAAAGAACTCTGTAGTGTGGACAGACCCACAGTGGCTTCAATAGGAGCCAAGGGTGCTCATCATGCTGCTGTCTAGAGGATGAATCAATAGTAGGAAAAGTGATGTAAAAACTGGGATCATTTCACCTCAGCCTCTCATGTGTTTTGAGCAGATATTAGACACTAAGGCTATGTCTAGACTGCAAGCCTCTTTCGAAAGAGAGCGTCTAGACTGCACAGAGAAATTTCGAAAAAGCGGCTTGCTTTTTCGAAAGAAAGCATCCAGTGAGTCTGGATGCTTTCTTTCGAAGAAGCCCTATTTACATTGAAGAACGCCTTCTTTCGAAAGAGGAACTTTCGAAAGAAGGCGTTCTTCCTCGTAAATTGAGGTTTACCGCCATCGAAAGAAAAGCCGCGTTCTTTCGAATTAATTTCGAAAGAACGCGGCTTGAGTCTGGACGCAGGGGAAGTTTTTTCGAGAAAAGGCTACTTTTCCCGAAAAAACCCCTGAGTCTGGACACAGCCTAGAAGTGAGAAGCCCTTTAGCAGTTCCACAGACAGACAATACAGTGGGCACAATAATACCAGGGCACAATCTTTCCTCATACCCTCTCCCTATAACCAGGCTAGAACTCAAAAGTGATGAGCATAAATTTTCCCAATTTAACCATAGACAATAAATCATATTTCTACTCACAGCATCTGGCTAGCTGCCTCCAGTCCCCAATCCTGACCCCCTCCAGCTGGCAGGCATCCGCGTAGGCCTTCAGGGCCTCGCACAGGGCCTTCCTGTAGCCGTCGGTGTGGCAGAGATCGTACACGCAGTTGTCCAAGTAGGCTGTAGGATCCACCTTGGCGTGGCACTGGCTGAAGGGCCCATCTGAGACCTTGGTTATCAGGCCACATGAGTCCTCCTCCTTGTACTTTCTGGCTATGCTGGCGGCACAGGGCTTGCAGCCCCCAATGCAGTCATGCCAGCAATGCTGTTCCTCATCTTCCACTGCCCAGCTTCTCCCCAGGGCGGCAACACTGGGAGCCAGGTCCCCGTCTGGGGTCTGGAAGTCATCAGTGGGATCCCCGTTATAGTTACCGCACAGGCCACACAAGCTGTTGGAGAAGTCACGGGGGACGGTGACCCTCAGGTGGTTGTTCCAGTCATAGGCTACGCTGAGCTTGAAGCTGGTGCGGAGGACAAGGGAGGTGCCGCTCTGATAGAGTCGAAGAACGCCGTTGTTCAGGGAGATGGGTAAGTGGGCCCTGGTGTTATTCACCTTCATGGTAAGAAAAAAAGGGCAAAGGTCACAACTGAGTGCACCATCTGCCATTTCCAAAGTGGCCCTACTCAGATTAGCAATCTGCTCCAAATCTGTCAGGGAATTTGGATCCAACTCAGAACCCGAATTACACTGCATCATATAACATGGAGCTGAGAGGGAAAGGTAATTCTTTTTAGAGTATTTTGGTGTTTAGAAATGTGTTTTAATAATGGCACCACACCTTGAGAGGTTGAGCCTGGGACCCTATGTTCTTAATTTTGCTAGATACTACAAATTGTGACTGTAGTAAAGAGATTGGAGTTAGAGCTCATCCCAGCACTCTGTCTTCCAGTAACTGCCCTTTTTTGTCCTGTGTTGTCAGGGGGGTTAACTGCTTATGCTAAATGACCTGTTCCATCCAGCTATGACACTCTGAGGACTCATCTATACTTGGAACTCTGCAGGTGTGGAAAATCTGCACCTCTGCAAAACACAGTCACACTGAGCTACTCCTGGTGCAGATAGCTCAGTGTTGGCAGGAAAGCATCTCCCATAGACATGCGCACAACCTGTCAGGGCATGAAGACACCACAAAATTAAGTTGACCTGAATTCAGCCAGCATAAAGCCACCTCAGTGATGACCTAACTTGTGCATTTCAACTCTGCTCTTTGTATCTGTGATGTGCATCCTCATCAGGAATGCTTGCACCAATTGGACTCTCAGGGTGGGGCACTGTGGGATGGCTTCTGAAAGCCAGTTACAGTCCATGTAATCGAGGCAGAGTCTCCAGTGATATTGCATTGACCTAACTACGTTGACAGTGACTCTGCACCTCTCATTAAGGTGCAGTTATTAAGTCAGAGAAGCAGGGCATTTACATCAGCAGATGCAAAATTTTACATTAGATGCTTACATAGTTAGGTCAATGTCAGCTTTCTTGCATTGACCTTACTCTGTAGCATAGACTGAGTGGAGTACAGACACCAACAAGACAAAGCTGTCCCTTTGGTCTAGGTAGCATCTTCCATAAGCAGCTGCACTGGTAGACAAGCCCTCAGGTAGACTACAGCATTGAGTGTGGATATTCCATGCCCCTGCATATGCACTGACAACATTGGCACTCCCAGACTGGAGCACCCCCTTGCAGATCAGCTCCCCCTTCCTTCCCAGCACCATCCTAGCACCTCCTACCCACTGAGGTCAGCAGTTCCATGGTGCACAGGAGGTTCTGAGGGAGAGAGAGGGGTGGAATGGGGCAGGAAAGGGTGAAGGAGGGATGGGGTCTTGGGGGAAAGGGTGAAGATGGGGTTGGGCGCCCCAAGAGAATCAAAAGGTCGATTCTAATTCATAGACTAGTCCTGAGTACCCTTCCCAGACAGAAGATAAACGACATAAAATAAAAAGAAAGTCATTTCCTCTCCCACCTTGTCTCTTTAACATCCTGAGACCAGCATGGCTACCACAACTCTGAAAATAGTTAAACAGTTGGACATTTTATTCCAATTTGGAACAAAAATGAAAAATTACAAACTTCTCTGGGAAGGGAAGGGAAGGGAAGGGAAGGGAAGGGAAGGGAAGGGAAGGGAAGGGAAGGGAAGGGCAAGCCACCTGGTTTCCATTGGGGAGTCACTAAAACCGCAGCATCTCCTCACAACATTTTGTTGTTAATGAATTAGAAAATACACCCAAGAAATATTTCATTTGAATTTGTCCAACCCGTTTCAACACTAAAACTACGATTCAGGGACAACTGGCAGGTGCTTTTGTGGGGAGAGAGCTGCATTGGCTACAGCCATTAGGGAGCGGCTCCTCTGCGGGGATGGGCCACATCTGTTACAGCTGTTAGGAAGTGGTGCCTGTGGGGGATGGGCCCACGATGGTTAGAGTCATTAGGGAGCAGTTCCTGTGGGGGAGGGGTTTGCATTGGTGAGAGCCATTACAGAGAGGTGCCTGCTGCGGGGGAGAGTCCTGAGGGATTTTGACTCTTAGCACTGACTTCTGATTCTAGATCTAGCTACTAGCCCTGACTGCTCCAGTCACTAAGTCAGACCACCCCCACCCAGTTGCTGACAGGAGCCCCAACCACAGTGCTTTGGAATTACCCCGCTGACCACCTTTACCATACCATGACACACGGGCTGAGTTTTTCCAGAAAATCAGCCGCTTTTCCAGAAAAACTTGCCAGCTGTCTACACTGGCCACTTGAATTTCCGCAGAAGCACTGACTTCCTACTGTAAGAAATCAGTGCTTTTTGCGGAAATACTACGCTGCTCCCGTTTGGGCAAAAGTCCCTTTTGCGCAAAACTTTTGCGCGAAAGGGCCAGTGTAGACAGCTGAGAGTTGTTTTCTGCAAAAAAGCCCCGATCGCGAAAATGGCGATCGGGGCTTTTTTGCGGAAAAGCGTGTCTAGATTGGTCACGGATGCTTTTCTGCAAAAACTGCTTTTGCGGAAAAGCGTCTGTGACAATCTAGACGCTCTTTTCCGAAAATGCTTTTAACTGAAAACTTTTCCGTTAAAAGCATTTCCGGAAAATCATGCCAGTCTAGACGTAGTCAGGGTGCCTGGTGTTGCCAGGATCGGAATTGGTTAGCACTGACTCCAAGGGCAGAGTGGGATACCTGAACATCTGAGTGTAGTGCGGTCTCCCTGTCCTCACCCTCCCTGTTCTCACCCAGCAGCACAGCGCCATGGCTTCAGGGACAGCGCCATGGCTTCGGGGACAGCGCCAATTCAGCACAGAAGCACTTTCTGCTTCTTAACCAATTCTGCCCCTTGCAACACTTTGGGCAAATGTTTCAAAGTACCCTTAGTGCTGACAAAACCCAGCACTCACCCACACAAAGCCGGCCTCAGCCCTGGCTGCTGTGATGGTGACTCTGTCCACTTGGATGGTCACTGACACAATGTAGGAGACTTGTGTGTTCCCCCAGCTTTCACTCTTGGCTGTGACATGGAAGAAGGGTGTGATGGAGTCACCCCTGCAAATCTTGGCTACAGTGTAGTTGCAGGTCCCATGGAAGTTATACACCCGGCCATCGAAGGTGTGGTAATGCAAGTAGCCCCCAGCCCAACACATGGCCTGGGAGACTGGCACACACTCTGGCTGCCCATCTATCATCTTGCAAACTGTTCCTTTCTTGCAGCGGACCACAGTGCAGGATGGCTTTGGAAGATCTAGTGGAGAAAGACAATAGATAGACAAGAAACACCAGACTAATCAGTTATATATGAAAGCAGAAAGGGAACTGAGGGTGGTGTGAAAACCAGAATGAAATGTAGTGTCTCTGGAATCCAGCTAGTTAATATAGCCTGTTTATGAAATGGACTGAATATGCATTTGTCTCCCATACATCTCAAAGGTCCTCTGCTTAGAAATCTCTCTGCCTGGGGGTATGTCTATACCGTATTCTTACCTCGAAATAAGCTATGCAATTTGCGCTATGAAAGTTGCGTAGCTTTTTTTGAGGTCATTTCAAAATAAAGCACTATTTGGACATGTCCCTTAACCCTCATTGAATGAGGATTACAGGGATGCTGGAATAGTGCACCTATTATTTTGAAATATATTTTGAAATAATGGTCACGTTCAAAGATGTGGAATTGCTATTTCAGGATATTTCCGGTATCCCAAAAGATATCGCTGACTAGACATAGCCTGGGTGAGTCCATAGCAGACTTTGAGCCAGCAGAGCAAGCTGGATTGGCAAGTCTAGGTCGTGTTGAGTGGAAAATCAATAGGACTCTCTTGGGCTTGGGTTAAACCAGCTGGTTTTCCTGATTCCTCTGGGTAGAGTTGCTAGGTGTCTGTTTTTTTTACCAGAAAACCCAGGCAAAAAGAGAACCTGGCAGTGTCCAGTCAGCTTAAGACTGGATACTAACAATTCAGTAACCTGAATTTAACTGGACTCTGCCACCAGTGGCTCAGGAGATCAGCAGTTACTACTGGAGCCTGGAGGAGCACTAAGCAATCCCTCTGACTTAGAAAGGTACCAGTGTACTGGTGGATCTTCCTTCCTGACCTGAGCACAGCTCTCTCTCTCTCCACATGCACCCCGCCATCCCACCACCCCAAAGCCTGCTCAGCTGGCAGCGGAAGGGTGGTGGAGAGAGCAGTGACCGACCGGGAAGGGAGAAAGGGGGGCAAAGAGGAGTGGGGGGCAGGGTCTGGAGGGGAAGAGGTGGAGCAGGGGGAGGGAGGAGGTTCTGTTGCTCAGTGTCCAGTTAAAATAAATGAGGAAGATGGCCACCCTGCCTACGTGATCAGTGCAGAGGTGGCTGCATGCTCAGTTCTTACTAACTGCAACAGAGCAAACACACTGCAGCCGGGGATGGCGGATGTCAGAAGCAGGGTACGTAGCCACCATTGGGCCGACTCATTCAATTTCATGGGAAGAGTCAGGCTGGCTCAGAAAATGACCTGGCCTTCTCAGGCTTGGAGTCCTCAGTGATAAGGCCCAACACACCTCTAGCATGGCACAGACGAGGAGAGTGGTTGGGAGGTGATGTGCTCTGACAATGCCCAATGACCGATGGGCCCTGTGGGACCATAGCCAAGCTGTTCTGTTTATAGCAGCCCCCAGGCTGCACCCAGGGAGAGTCTCATGAGTGTGCTCAGCTCCCTGACACCTGCTGACCCAGCTCTGCTGGACACAGCAGAGACCCAACAAGTTTTTCCAGCTTTCCAATTGAAATTCTGTAACATTACAGATCAGGGCTACTGGCTAAAGGAAGGGGGAGAAAAAGTGAGAGGTGAGAGGAGACATAACCACGCCTGGTACTCGCTGCCTGTGCAAACCCCCTCTGGGGCATATTTCAAACAATGACTCTCCTCTACCTTTACTGGCGCAGGCCCTGACGCCGTCTCTGATCTGGCAGGTTTCTTCTCGGGCGCATTGGTGGGCTTTGCAGGTCACCCCTTGGACAGGAACGCAGGTGCAGCTTTGCTGGCACTCGTTTGTCAGGACCGTCTCATTGGGCTGGTTGAACATTTGGAAAACAGGAAATAACACTGCAACTGGAAAACCTGTAATTTTTTAAAGCACTAAAGCCAGAGCTGCAGATGTGTTTTTCTAACAGATGTATTCTAGGAATAATACTGGGGCAGCTCTCTGTCCTATGTTATCCAAGGGCTCAGACCAGATTATCACAATGGTCCGTTCTGGCCTTGTAATAGAAGTATCTATAAAAATGATTGTGTCAGAATATAATTTCCTCTTGCCTGTCTAATGGACTGTGGATTGGATTTAAGGCATGGAACAATGTCTAGGTTTGACCTTCCATCTGCTACCGACTCACTGTGTGGCCTTGAGAAAGTCACTATGCCGTTCTGTGCCTCAGTTTCCCCACAACAGGCACAGGGCAATAAACTTTCTGTCCTTTTTTGGCACTTTGATCATTAGGTACCAGCCAAGAGGGAAGACAGCCTGGATGAACCAATCTCTGATCGACTATAGCAAACCCTATATTCATGACCAGTCTAAGGATTAAGATTTAGCCAGAGCAAAAATTAGCTCAGACCTAGATACCTTGTAATATTTCCCATGCTCGAAGCACCCGCAGCTCTCCTGAGGCACACAGCCCTGGCCATCAAACAAGAAGCCATCATCACACTGGCAGCCTTCAGCACAGGTCTTCAGGCAGTTCATGATGTCTCCAGTGCAGGAGGAGGTACAGAGGTCAGCACAGAGCTCATAGTGGCTGTTGACTGGGCAGCTCATAGCTTAAATAGAGAAAGACATAACTGATACCTGGAATTCTCTCCCATCACAGCCTGGGGGACACGTATGAAGGAGAGGAGAGGAGAGCACGACAGGGAGAAAAGGACCAGGGCACTTTTGAAAGGGAAAATGAACTTGTTGGTTCCCACCAGAGGAAGCCCAGAGACCTGGAACAAGATGTCCAGTAACACTGACCCCCTCTGCTCCCACAGTGACTCCTAGAGCACCTTCAGTATCCCGGCACTTACGGCAGAAGGAGGCGCTCCTCCAGGGCTTGATGAAGATCCTGGCCTCCTGGCAGGCCGTCACGTAGCTGTGGATGCTCTGGCACAGGACCGGGGAGTCCCCGTTGCCCAGGCACACGTCATGCAGGCAGTTGTTCAGATACATGCTGGGGCTGATTGTGCCGTGGCAGGTGGCAAAGGGGCCATTGGGGTCTGTGAGCAGCCCGCAGTAGTTGCTCGCTTTGAAGACCTCCTTCTTCCTCTCCTCACAAACTGGACAGCTGTTTCCAGCACACCTGTCTGTACAAGGTGCTCCTGGGACCTGGACTTCCCAAGCAGAACCAAATGCTGCCACATCAGGGGCTGTGCTTCCGTCGGGGAGCAGGAACTCCTCATCTTCCCGTCCATTGTAGTTCCCACACAGGCCACACGTCTGGCCCTCATAGCTCCCTGGGATGCTGACCTTGGCTTGGTAAACCAGGTCAAAGCTCACAGTGAGGCCAAACTCAGTTTGCACAAAAATATTTGTACCGTGTTGATATGCTTTAAGTTGCCCATCAGCCATGATCACTGGGAGGTTGTGGGTCACCCTGTTCACCTGTAAGAGAGAGAACATTCCTTGTCAGTTACTCAGACAAGAGTCTACTCTGAGCCATGGCATAAATCAGAATGACTCCAAATTTCACATTGTCCTTCCAAGATAATCACATTATCATCCTGGACTACATCTCTTCTCTCCCCTTCGCTTTACCTCCTTCCTGGTTTTTTCCCTTTATCATCTATATTTTCTCTAGCAGGTTCTGTGCTTTTTTTCATGAGAGATCCTGCACATGGAACAGTTTCCTACTTTTTGTCCATTTCCCTCTCTGTCCAAAACACCCACTTCCTGGATGATACCTCATTCCTTCACCCCTTGCCTTCTTCTGTTTCAACCAATTCCCCATATGCTGTTTTGGCTCCAGGTTAGAGTGCAGGCTTCTCCGGGGAGAAATTCTTCAACACAGATCCAACGGAGTGAAAATGGGGAGGAAGCTTATTCCATGTTTGCAAAAATGTGAATTATATATATAAGTTTACCGAAATCATCTTCTCCCAAAAACATGGTGTATGAACCAAGAAGCGACACAAAGAAGATTGAGCTGAGCTAGAAGGATGCTCTGCTTGCCCAAATAATGCTTCTTACCATCTCCAGTTGGCCAGGAGACTCTGTCCCATCCTGATAGATGATAATTTGGCCTCAATCATTTTATGCCTTCATCACCTCTCTGGAGAGCTATATGAACCTTTCAGAACTCCAGAATGTTCATCAGCCTTGTCTCTCCTCTGGCTATTCAAAACACATCAAAACTGTCCTCTGCTCTGTTTGCTGCCTTCCAAAGAGAACATTGAATCTAGTGCAAGCTCTCAGAGCTTATCTTCAAGGCCCTCAATGGCCTGGACCTCAGGTTTTTAAAAGATCAATTAAACCTCCGGGATGAAGATTGTAGCTGACAACTTTGTTCTTCTGGAACAGTGGACTTCTCTCCAATAAGAGTAATGTGAGCCTGTGCAGGAGATGGAACTGTACTGGTGACCAGTTCTGAGGAATGAACTCCTTCAGGATCAAAGGATCTTCACAAAGCTCACCACTTCCATCCCAAGTGCAAGCTGCATTTCTCTGACCTGCTGTCTCTACCACATAGGAATATATAAGGCAAAAGTAAACCCAACACAAAACTCTCTCCTTCATGCATATCTCCTCCTGGGGATAGGATGAGGAAAAGGGCCAAGTTCCTTAGAGAATGTCTACACTACAGAGTTCTCTCAAAATAACAAGGTGAGCCTCCACACAGCAAGCGCATTATTTCGAAATAATTTTGAAACAACGGGATAGCTATAGTGAAATAATAACCCTTCGTTCTAGGATGAATAACACCTATTTCAAAATTGCTATTTCAAAATAGGTTTAGTGTGGACACTCAGGCTACATCTAGACTACACCCCTCTGTTGGCAGAGGGATGTAAATGAAGCACTTTGAAAGTGCAAATGAAACTGCAGTTTAGATGTGGTTTTTTCAACAATGGGGCGCCTTTTCGAAAGATCCTGTATTCCTCAGGGTTGTCAAAAAAACTGTGTCTAAACTGCAGTTTCAGTTTCGAAACAGCGCTTGTTCGAAACAATGCCGTGAAGTGATTATGCAAATGAAGTGCAGGATATTTAAATTTGCTCTTCATTTGTACTTTCAAAATGCTTCATTTACATCCCTCTGCCAACAGAGGGGTTTAGTCTAGACATTAGTTGCTGTTAGTTCAAAATAACTCCCCAGAGTCATTCAAACTAATTAGTCCCCAGTGCTTCCTGGGGCTCTAAGTTGAGGTAGCATGTCCACATTAAGGGAACCTTCCTCAGACTAATGTTGAGGCTTCCCTGTAGTGTGGACATGCTATTTCAAAATAGTTATTTCGGGAGTTATTATTTTTAAATAACTTATTTCGAAATAACCTAATAGTGTAGACATTGCCTTAGTGTATTGCTGGACCGTGCTCAAATACTACATGACAAAGCATCTTATAAGAATTTGGAAGTGGATGGTTTATTCTTTAGGGCCAGTGGGCCAGCAAAAGCTGAGTACTAAGGTGGCATGCCTGAGCAGGGGGCACATGTAAGAGCAGCAGGGGAAAGATGGATGGCTGGCACTGCAGGGAGACTTCTCATGGAGACCACAAGCAAATACAAAAGAGGCTGATAAGAATGAATAGGGAAGCTGAGGCAGACCACCTACAGTGCAACCTTTAGTCATGATGAGACACAAGGAGATGGTGTCACATTAATGAATTCGGGGGAAGCAGCCAGATCACTGTAATCTGTGTAGATACTGAATATTTCTCTGCATGTTGTTGAGCATTGGGCAGAACCCGGCCTATGGACATGCTAATTAGCGAGGCCCTGTGGGACAATGGCACTCATTGGGCCAAGGACACACCTAAAGAATGAGGGCTGACACCTGAGGACTGCCAGCAGGGAACACAGGGATAGGCCGCTGGCTAGGTGACCTGCTACAGCCAAGAAGAGACCAGGAAGGATGTATAAAGAGGCCATGTGGTGGACTCCATCTTCGTACTCAGCTCAGCACTTCATCCCAGAGGCAGCAGTGCAGGGATCGAAGAGCCGGACTGAACTGTGGACCCATCCTGATCCTTGGATGCCCAACAAGGACTTTTAAGCCAGCAGCTGTAACATCTCTGCTAGAGCCTGCATCGAGAACTGGGAGATTCAATGCATGTAATGTACTATCCTTTAACAACCTTACTCTCAATCTTTTCTTTATTGTAGTGATAAACCTTTAGATGTTAGATGCTAAAGGATTGGCTCAGCGTGATTTGTGGGTAAGATCCAGAGGGTAAATTGACCGGGGATCTGTGGCTGCTTTCTTGGAACCAGAGAGAACTTGTTCGGGGTAGGCGGGGTTGAGTTCTAAGACCCCCCACCGGTGTATGAGGCCCGGGGCCCTCTGGGGCACGGATATTGCTGGGGTGTCGGAGGGGTTTTGCTCGTGAGGCTTCAGGCAGGCTGCTGAAGTGCTCTGTGGGACTGGTTTGTGGCTGTTTGGAGAGGTCACCAGACTGGGGGCTGTAAGGAGCCCCGAAGTTGAGCAATTTGCCCTGAGCGGACGCCCTCAGCTGTGCCCAGACCAGCCCGGTCCGTCACAGATGGACAAACGTCAAACAACCCTGTATAGAATAGAATAAATTCCCTGTCCATGAGAAGCTGGAAGTCTGTTCTGCAGCAGGGTGAGTGTGATCCCGTACACCTGGATGGACACCTGCTTGGCCACGGACACGTTCCCGCTGCCCCAGGATTCTTTCTCTATACGGATGGTGAATGGCATCAGGTTGCTGGAGTCAGTGCAGGTCTTGGCCAGGATGTAGGTGCAGGTGCCTTGGAAGTCAAAGGGGACCCCATCGAAAGAGAGGTAGTGGGGATGGCCAGAGGCAGAACAGGTGGCAGATCCAAATGGGTGGCATTTCCGGACACCGTCCACCACCCCGCATTGCTCACCAGTACCACAGGTGAAAGCCTTACACACAACTTCTCCCCCAGCCTGACACATGCACTGCTCCTCGCAGGAACCACTTTGGTGGAAGGTTTCCCCGGCACTGGGAAATGGGGACACAGTGGTCACTGCTGAGAATAAAGCCCTCGTCACACACGCAGCCTTCCTTGCACTGGGTCGTGCATTGCACCGGGGCATAGAGGTTGCTGCATGTCAGATCACAGCTGCTGCTGCAGAATTCGTAGTGACTGTTCTGGGGACAGGATGCAGCTGTAAGAAGAACAGAGTTAACTCACCAAGTGCATTAGCAATGTGCACAGAGAGCCATTGCAGGTCATGCAGTATCATTCAAGCACCTAATTTTCTGTTTGCTTTGCTTTGGTTAATAAAAAGGCAACGTGTCCAACTAGGTCCCAGATCTGGGACACTGGGTGCCCGATAGGCACCAGGAGAAGGGATGCAGATAATCCCCCTTCTAGGGTTTATTATTTCATGGTTTCACTACTGGGCTGTGTCTAGACTGCATCCCTTTTCTGTAAAAGGGATGCAAATTAGACACATCGCAATTGCAAATGAAGCGAGGATTTAAAATCCCCCCCGCTTCATTTGCATAAAAATGGCTGCCGCTTTTTTCCAGCTCGGAGCTTTGCCGGAAAAAAGCGCCAGTCTAGATGCGGATCTTTCGGAAAAGAAAGCCTTTTCCGAAAGATCCCTTATCCCTATGCCTCTGCACTCAGTTGTGTGAAAATGATTTCCCAAAGGATGGCTTGTGTGGGATGTGTTGGTGGGTTCCCAGCCCAGTTCCTCATGGACAAGCATTCCAATCAGTAAGCCCACTTGAGGCCCAGCTACTATTATGTCCCAGTCTCAGAAGGAAAGCCAAGGATGGGACTGGTCATGAAGAGTATATTATATCCCTAGCAATATTTCTATGGCCCGGGATGCAGCAGCCAGGGGCATTACCAGTGCTGAACCCAACCTGCTGAGAGAGACCTTTGTTCAACATGTTCTTCAGTGTTTAGCCCCACATCTACCAGACAACAAGAGCTGACAACACCCATGGGGCAAGCAGCGGTGATCATGGGGGACTCACAGCAGAATTTTGGAGTCCTCCAGGGATACACCACACCTCCAGCTTCCTGACACGCCTCGGCATAGCCAGCAATGGCCTGGCAGACGTTACTCTCCTGCCCACTCAGGAAGCAATAGCCGTACACACAGTCTATGAAGTATCCGTGTGGGTCCACTTTACGGTGACATCCTCGGAAGGGGCCACCCTTGTACAGGATGAGCCCACACTGCCCTCTGCTCCCTCTCTGCTGTTGTTCAATAGCTTCTAGATTTGCACATGGAGGTATCGTCACTGCAGAGCATCCAGGGACGTCTCCCACCTTCCAGCTCTGGCCCAAGCTGCCGGGGTTGGGTGCCAGCGTGCCGTCCCTCATCTGGAAGTCATCCTCCCTGTCCCTGTTGAAGTTGCCACACAGACCACACACGGCCCCCGCATAGGTGACAGGCAGCGTGACCGTGGTGCGTCCTGACCAACCAGTAAAGGTCACGCTGA